ACCCCAGGGCATCAGCCATGCCCCCCTCCCTGACGCCTCCCCCTATTTCTGCTAAGATCACAGACCCCAGAAGATGCCTGAGCGACTGGGCACTGAAAATGTGCTCTGAGGAAACTGCACGCAGTCTCCAGGGAAAGGAAGGGATCCTCCTGGGTTTGTGCAGGCTGAACAGGTCAGGGGAGCGCTCTGACGCCCAGGCAGCCTGTTGGGAAGGGCTTCTTGAAGCTGGAGTGGGGCAGTCACTTCCTGGTGACCTCAGACAGTCCAAGCATGGGTGGTCCCTTGGACTGCAGGAGGGTCCTCCAAACTACTGGCTGGTATCACAATGACCTTCAGCCTCCCCAGGACTGGCACTCAGAAGGTAGGCCAGATGTAAAGGAGCCGCATCCCTGAGGCTGGCACTGACGTGAGGCTAGGGTCCTGCATCTGTACTCACACCGGCCTCCCCGGGGCCTCGGGATGTGAGGTGTTCTTCAGCAAACATCTTGGGTAAAGAACTCTTTCCATCCTATAAGCTTGATGGGGACAACTGGAATGGAGTTCTCTGTGTTAGACTCTCTGCAGTTTGTATCTTTGTTTCAGTAGCCACTAAAAGCTAGGGCTAAATAGAAGTGTGTGTGTGTGTGTGTGTGTGTGTGTGTGTGTGTATTTGTTTGGATTCTTGTTACCTGGTGTGACTTTGAAGTCAGAGATTTGCCAGAACTGAACACTAGTGTAGCTGTTTCCACACACGTAGAGCTCTGAGTGGACGGGAAAGTGGATCCCAAAGAGCCCGAGTGCTCCCCATGATCACGTGTGCATAGTGTTCTTGTGCTTGTCTTTGTGTGTGTGTGTGTGTTTGTGTGTGCATCCATGTGTGTCTGTATGCATGTGTCCCTGTGTCTGTACACGTGTGCCTGTATGTCTATGTGCAAGCGTCTATATATACCCATGGGCATCTATGTACATATATGCCCATACATGTGTCTATGTGCATGTGTGTCCCTGAGTGCGTCTGTATAATCGTGTACACACTGAAAGCAGAGAGGGCGAGACCCAGCAGTGAAAGGCTTTCAGTCTGGGGACCTGGGTTCAGATCCCAGCCCCAGCTCTCCTTAGACGCAGTGCCCCATCCGTGTGATGGTGCAGTAGAGGCTTCCTTGCAGCAGGAGCTGGCTGTCTGCTCTTGGGGGCATCTGGAGGGAGGGGAACCATACCCCTGTAAGGATGAGCAGTTTCCTAGGACTGAAAGCACAGATATATAACCCATGGCCCACAGGTCCCTTTAAGGAGCCACTCTGCTGTTGGGCTTCGTGGACATCGGCCTCACCACACAGTGATTGCCCCAAGCCCACATCCAACTTGTCAGTTAAGGCCGTGGGGACCAAGGGTGGGCCTGATCCTCTCCACCTCCCCTTCTCAACAGACACTCCGGGCGTATTGGTGTATTTGTGCATTGAAGCTTCACAGCCCGCGGGGGTAACGGGAGACAGACGTGCCCAGTGGACACAGCTCTTGCCTTGCTTGGGGAGGCAGAAGGGACGTTCCGTCCCGAGGGTCTGATCGTGGTCGTGTACTGCTCATTTCCAAACGGCACCAACGCCATCGTTGCTCAGCTAACACTCCCTGGGACCCCATTCTAGTCAGAAGATAAAGACAGGAAGGCTCAGGCCTGCCCTGGGCATCCAGAGTCTGGGGGCAGGGAAGACCTGTGCATAGCTGGCACCCGACACCCAGCACAGGGGGCCACGCTGTCAGGAGGAAGGAGCCACCAGAACCCCTGTCCCTCTCACTCCCTCGCCATAGTGAAGGTAAAGCGCCTTGCCCTTACCTGAGCCGGCCTTTGTCCTCCTCCCAGATGGCTGAAATGAAAAGCCCAGAACTCCTTTTAAAGACTTCCCTGGGGGCCTTGCCTCTCAGACCCTTCCTGAAGCCCGAGGCACAGCCATTGGAACAGGAGTCCGCTAGCCGGGAATCTGCATTGCCTCTGACCAAGGTGATACCCGAGAGGCCGCAGTAGCTTTCTTCCCAGGCCTCGGGAGAGAGACAGAGAGCCAGTGAGAAAGGCTTAGGGACTTTGACCTGTTATTGTATAGTCACATCGCGTTTTAATTAAAGGAAGGGAATGTGTAGATCATTCTCCTATTCCTCAGTTTGGGCAGACAGCGTGGTAACGGCCACCATGCAGGCCTGGCTCTGTGATGCTCCCTGCCCTCTCTACGGCCCTGAATGTATAGCTTTCAGCCTGGGGAGGTGACTGCCCCCTCCAGAGGCCTGGCAGCAGATAGCAGGACCAATACCATCATTTAAGGAGAAGCAAGCTGAGCAGGGTGATTACAGCATGGAACAGTGCTCCACTTTTGTCAAAGTGTCCCTAAGGACAGCAGATGAGGACGCCACTCAGAGCCACACTCCCTGTCCCCACGCACCCAGGCACAGGGGAAGAGAGAGGCACTTTGGAAAGTTCACCCGTTTCTTGACAGGCTTTAGGACTGCACGGCTTCTCTGTGCACCTGCCCAAAACTTTCAGGTGATGAGCACCTGCCCTTCGGCCACGGGCACAGACGGTCCCCATTGCTCTTGTTTGGAGTCTTCACCTGCCTGATTCTAAAGCTGTTCTCTCTCCCAGAGCATGCAGTGTGTCCCAGCGTGTAAGGACTTAGGTTCAAATCCCAGCCCCAGCGTTAGTACGCTGATAAAGGTTTTTCGGGGGGAGGGGTAACTGGCAAAAAAAAAAAAAAAAGCCTGCCCCTAACCTAGACTGGTCAGGAAGTTGCTGCCTATTGCCACACACACGTGAAGATGCTCTGCAGAAATGTGGCTCCGGGTGGCCATCTGGACACCTGACTTTATACAGACCAGGGACCCAGGAGGGTCCAGGGTTCCGCAAACTCACTAACAAGACCCTAACGGTATTTGTGACTATAGTCCCAGGGAAGAAATCAGTCTTTATCCGCTTCTCAGAGTGTCCTGTGACCCAACAGCTGCTGTGCAGGCTGGCTTTTTGTCAGGGTGATACAGGGCAGGGTCATTGGGGAGGAAATGCTCCCATGGCTCCCGCCATTTGGGCCTGTGGTGAAGTCTGTGGGGAATTTTCCTGATTGATGATGGATGTGGGTGGTGCTGCTCCTGGGCAGGTGGCCCTGGGTTCTGTAAGAAAGCAGGCTGAGCAAGCCAGTAAGCAGCACCCTCCATGGCCTCTGCTTGAATCCCCACCTCCGGGTCCCTGCCTTGGCTTCTCTCAGTGGACTGTGAGCAGGGATAAACAAACAAACAAACAAACAAAGCCTCACAGGGTTGCTTTTGGTCATGGCTTTTATCATGGTAATAGAGACCTAACTGTGGAAGCTGTCAAACCTTCCGTCTCCGGGATCATTGTGCCCCTTCTGGGAACGTTGATCACATCCCATTGCAGGGTCCAGATCTGACCCTGCAGATCAGATGCGTGTGTGATGTGACCCTGCCTTCCACACTAGCTTCAGACACCTGGGTGTTCGTGCAGTCGGCCGGCTTGACTGATGCTCACAGAACTGAGGGCACCGTTGGATGAATTCACTGATTTATACTGAGGCCACCGTTGGATGAATTCACTGATTTATAAGGGGAGCCCAGGAACATCGTTTCTCCTTTTAATGCAGGAATGTTAATGTCTATTCATGAATGTCTGTTAGTTTGGGGGCTTTGTTATTTTGTTTTGTTTGTTTGGTCTGGGGTTTTTGAGCTAGGATCTTGCTGTGTGGACCATGATGGCCTCAAACTCTCAGCAATCCCCTTGCTTCAGATTTCCAAACACTGGGGCCAGGCCAGGCATAGTGGTACACGTCTTTAAATCCCAGCACTTGGGAGCCAGAGGCAGGTGGATCTCTGTGAGTTCGAGGCCACCCTGGTCTATATAGTTATTTCCAGGACAGCCAGGGCTACATATTAGAGAAACCCTGTCTCAAACAGAAGAAAGAGAGAAAGTAACTAAGTCCTGGGTACACAGGTGTATGCCACCATGCCTAGTTCATCAGAGCCTGTTTGATGTGTCCACCAATGGTTTCATATAAAGAAAAGGCCTCCCATATGTCATGCACTCTGCCTTGGGTGGCTGCCTCTTTGGGAAACAAAATACATATCAGTCAACATCCAGTGACTAGGCACCAGGCCTGTGAATTGTGTCATCCATTGTCACCGTGGCCAGCATCCTTGCTGGAAGTACACAGCTGGCTCTGGGAATGGCTGTTCCTCGGGAAGCACAGTGGCACATGGAGCTGCAGGAGCCCATAAAGGAAGTCGGGTCCAGCCCTAGAAGGGTAAGGGCCCAGGTAGGGCTGTGGCACCCGGTCACTTGTCACGTCTCTGTCTCCCACACGCAGGCCAGGAGTGAGTGCCCGTGCAGTGGACAGCTTGAGCTGGCCACGCAGGGGAGCCACATCCCCCACTTCCTAGGGTGATTGCAGTATGTCCCCTGTGTTTTGGAATCATGAGCCGGGATGTTTAAGAGCCCAGAAACCTTCCGTACACTAAGGTGTGTCCTGCCAGGTAGGAGCCTCGGTGGCCATGTGAGTTTATCTCATGGGCTGCCAGGCCCAGCTGTGACAGATTGACAGCCACCCTGCTGGGGGACCACAGTGCGACCCAAACCGCCAGCCTTTGAGACATGGACGGGCAAAGGCCAGCTACGTGGCCCAGATGAAGCAGGACTAACCGCATGTCTCTCTTCTCAAAGAGAGGAACAAACAACATAAAATAAGCGATCACAAATGTGCTCTCTAGAGGGAACTTAACATTGGACCCTATGGCCACACACAGACCTGAGTCTCTGCGGGCCCGTGTGAGCCCCGAGTGGGCAGTGGGCCTGGGGAACAGCTGGCATGTCACCCCCACAGCAGGCTAACAGAGACCCTCCTCAGGTGGTTCTCTGTGCCTTCCAGAAAACACTTCCACTGCGTGGGTGCAGGCAATAAGCCGGCGCTGGTGATGAGCTGGCTGGCTGCACCCCGCCTGGGCCAAGGTCTGACTCTGTCTTTCTTTTTCAGGAACCTAGGCAAATCCGGCCTTCGGGTCTCCTGCCTGGGGCTTGGTAAGTGTGGGAACCCCTCATGAACAAGGTTAATGGAGCCTGAGATCCTGGGAGATTGGGTTGCCACAGCATCCAGGGGATGGGAAGCTCGAAGGGACAGAACTACAGCCTTAGCCAGGAGAAGCCAGGAGAGCCCTGGGTGTCCCTCTGCACACCGCCCTTCACCCCTACCGGGACGCCAGAGCACTGTATCTGGAAGCTTTCTTTCTGGCTTCTAACCCTTGCTTCAGAGAGACAATCCCCAGGAGAGACCTGTTCCCTGTTCCTTTCGCCTGACCTGAGCTCAGTCCTCGGAACCCACTGTCTTCCATCTTCAAGGCGAACCCACTTTTTTTTTACCCCCACTGTCCCAACACGCACTCCAGACCCTCTCCAAGCAGAGCCTGTCATCATGAAAGCACCCTCATTCTGCTCTTCAGGATGGCGGCGCACCAGCCCTGGCCTCGAGGGTGGCACACTGTAGCCCACACTGGCCTCAGACTCAGGGCAGCGCCCCTATCCCAACCCTCCCTCCCGGTGCTTAGCTTACAGGCGTGAGCCTCCACACCTAGCTCCAGGTGGACATTTCAGAGGCCACAGCCTTCCTCCGCTTACCCAGCATTCTGTCCTACACACAGGCTACCATTACCCTTGTTTGGAGACTCACCCTGGAGGCCAGGTATCCACATATGCAGGATATGCTCAACACAGAGCAGTGGGTGGCATGTGGCTGTCCCTGATTCCGTGCCCTACACTACACTGAGTACCCGCAAGGCAGTGAGCTAACCTGAGCCTATGTGTCTCCTTCTAGGAACATGGGTGACCTTCGGAGGCCAGATCACCGATGAGGTAAGACAGAGAGCCCTCAGCCCCAAGGTGTGTGGGTAAGTCCCCTGTATGAGCTAGGGACTGTGTGTGCTCATGGAGGCCACCGTGGCAGCCTCTTTCCCTCTGTTGAAGGGGGTCCTGCCAGCTGTTGGACCTGGTGGCACTGGTCAGCTGAGGCCTGGGATTTCTCAGCAAGTCTCTCAGCTCCTAGGAACCCAGGGTTCTCAGGTACAGGACACAGAGGCCTCAGTTGACCCCGAGCATTCAAGGCCCGTGTTTCCCCAGTGACAAAGCTGGATAGGGATCTGAGCTGTGTGTGCCGTGTGAGCGGACCATCCATACATCCCTGTTAACCTGCGCAGGCTGTCAGCCCACTGGGTCCTGACCACAGGCTACTCTAACTACTAGGTACCACTGTCTTCCGGGGCTTATCTGCTACTGGGATACAAGGTGACCCTAAGAAAGAGCCGACCTGGGTGCTACCGGTGTCACGGGGCCTGTCAGAAGGGAAGAGTTGCACTTCCAAACAGTGGGAGGTCAGAGAGGAGAGCTCTCGGCATCTGTACCATCTCGGCCATTGTGTTTGCCCAATCTGCTGTAGAAAGGCTTGTGTTTAAAAATTAATGATCGGGTCCATTTGAGACCTTGTTAGCTGCAATTGCTCTGTTTTTTAGGGAAAACTTGGCTTCCACGGAGATTCAAATGCAGTGTGCGGTTTCGTTCTTGATTTTTATAGCAGTAGCTGGTCATCGAACCATTTGTCCTGCGCTCTGAGGCTGCTGGAGATAAGCCGCCTCAGGACGAGTCTGGAACTTCTAAGGGGGAGCTGTGCTCCCCAGAGCTCAGAGTAGAAACCGGAGCCGTGGGACGTGTGTGGTTTGCCTCCGATAAGTCACGTCTGCCTCCGCCTCATCCCCCTCTCAGGGTGGCTGCTGATACAGGAGAAGGAGGCGCTGTGGAGGCGTGAAGGGGTGCACTGACACGAGCTACAGGGCGTGATGCCTCTGTGCACAAGTGACTCTGTCAGCAGCAGACTGGTGGCACTGGAGTATTGATGAATGAATCTCAGATGGCAGCTCCAGCTGGCTCTGCTCGTCACCGTGCCTCGGTCATGGACAGGGTGACGAGGATAAAGACACTGGGGGTCATACCTCGATGACATCAAGCTAGCGGAGCAGAGGAATGATAGATGACAGAGTCGAGATTCTGGAAGGATGTGACAGACAAAAGCGACTTGCTAAAGGAACAAGAAAAATGTTTGTATTAGATCCCGCAGTCTGTGTAAGGAAAAAAAAAATCAATATGTCAGATGTTAGGGACCCCGAGCTGTGCCAGGCCAAGAGGACAGAGTATTTATTCTCTGCCTGTTTGGTAAGAGCCAGTCAGGAAGCCAAGACTAGCTATGGACTGCTTTCCACTCCACTTTGAGGACGTTTGGTTAAAATGTATGAAGCATGAAATTTACCATGTTAGAGCTGGAGAGGTAGCTCAGCCAATGGCGTGTTTACCAGCAAGTTGAACCCCCAGAACTCAGTGTGAGCCTGAAACCCCAGCACTGAGGCAGCAGACGCGGAAGGACCACTGGCCAGCAGCCTAGCGGAACCTGCAGGACAAATGAGAGGTTCAGATGCGTCAAGGTGGGCAGTTGAGCAGTAGCCTGGGGATTGATACCCCAGGTTAACTCTACACCTATGCGTAAGTGCATACATGCACACACAGACAAAATGACCGTTTTAATCATCCTAAGGGCGTAGTTTACTGGGTAGCTTCGCGTTGCCGTGCAAACGTAACTTCTGTTTCCAAACAGAAGCTCCACACCTTTAGGCAGTATCTCTCCTAGTCCCCGCTAACCTCTAGTCCACTTCCTGCCTCTGTGAGTCTGCAGTCTCTTTTCGCGAGTGGTTTCATTGACACATAGCCACACTCACTGGTTGTTGACCCGTATGTGGCTGCTTCTGCTGCAACGACAAAGCCGGGAACTTGGCAGGTCGTCTACCCCAAGATGCTTCAGCCGTTAAGTATCTGTCCCAGTGGGGAAAGGTTTGATGGCTCCTGGGCTGTATCAGCACAGCAGCACAAGGAAGTTCCGGGGAGGATGGTGGCGATGGCTGCACCGTAGTGTGCATGCGCCAGGTCCAGTGACAACTGCCAGTGTCTGAGCACTCAGGAGGCTGAAGCAAGAAGGACATGGGTCGGAGGGACGTTTGAACTATGTAGTGAGCCCCTGTCTGGAAAGAGTTATCTTTTTTAGATGTATTTATGTGTGCCGAGTGTTTCACCTGTGTATGTGTATGTGCACCAAGTGCGTACAGTGCCTGAGGAGGCCAGAAGAGGGCGCCACATCCCCTAGAACTAGAGCTGCAGAGGTTTGTAAGCTGTCTTGTGGGTGCTGGGAACCAAACCTGGTCCTCTGCAAGGACAAGTGTTATTAACCGCTGGGCCATCTCCATCCCCCTCTCTCCCCTGCCAAAAAATGTTTTAGGGTCAGTATGAAAAGTTTTTCATGTAGATTTTGGTACACACATTTTTTTTGAGACAGTCTCATGTATTCCCAGCTGCCCTTGAACTTAATATGTAACCAAGGATGACCTTGAATTTATCTTCCTGCCTCCACCCACCGGTGGTTGCTGCCACTCCTGTTGCTGGTAACTAAACCCAGGGCTTCAGGGATGCTGGGCCAGTACTCTACCCACTGAGCCACTCCCGGCTCCAATAAGTATGCATCTAATGTAAAGGAAAAGGGGAGGGTGAAGCTCTCCATGAACCACTTTAAACTGGTTTCCAGGAGGCACCGTGTGCGCTCCAGACAACGTCCAGAGGAGCTGCAGCCTCCTTTGTGCCCAGCAGATAGATTAGTACAGAAATACGCCTGGGCAGCGGTGGCACACGCCTTTAATCCCAGCACTCGGAAGGCTGAGGCAGGCACATCTCTGTGAGTTCAAGGCCAGCCTGGTCTACAAAGCTACACAGAGAAACTCTGTCTCAAAACAAAACAAAGCAAAAACCCCAAAACAGAATATTACAGGAATACATGCCTATCTAAAAAGAAGTTCCTGAAAGACAGAAACGCAAGCCGTGAGCCCTCTCCTCCCAGAGGCCCTCTAGAGAGGTCCCTCTGCCCAGCGGGACCTAGCATGCAGTGTCCCCCTGAGTGTGACTCAGGCTGGCCAGTGGGACACATGTGGGAATGTGTGGTGGTAAAAGCAATCGAGTCCCGGTGAACAGGCCATGCTTGACCTGCATTGGCGTCGCAGGAGAACAAGCCTGGCGTGAGCAGAGCTGGCTTGGGTGGGCGGCTCTGGGGAGGAGGCCACTCCCCAGTGGGGCTGAGTCGCGTGGCCTTCACTGTTGTTTCTTGATAAGACGCTTGGGTAGGACCCTGACCATCCGACCAACCTTCCGGATTGACCAGCCCTTTCACAGGGGTCGCCGAAGACCATCGGAAAACGCGGATCTTACATTACAGCTCATAACAGTAGCAAACTTACACTTCTGAAGTAACAATGACAGGTTTTGTGGCGGGGGTCACCACAGCATGAGGGACTGTGTTAAAGGGCGCAGCATTAGGAAGGCTGAGAACAGCTGGTTCAGAGCCTCCCTGGGGCTGGAAAGGCAGTGCTGGCCGCAACAGCTCTGGTTTTATCATTTCAGATGGCAGAGCACCTCATGACCCTGGCCTACGACAATGGCATCAACCTGTTCGATACCGCAGAGGTCTACGCTGCTGGCAAGTATGTACCTCTCTGTGAGAGAGGGTGGCATGGGACGCCGTCAAGGGATCACATCTCCAGTTCCCATCTCTCCTTCCCAGGCACTCACAATAGCGTCTACCACTCTGTCCTATTCTTAGAACTCCGAGTGATCTTCGGAGATATGTGGATGGGGCCAGACTCAGAACTCTCAGGCACTGGCTGCTTTTTAACACCCGCTATGTGCCCAGGCACCCAAGTAACAGGTGTGGGCGGGGTGGACATCTCCCTACAACCCCCCTTTTAGTCAAAAGAAAAGATTTAGGCTTGATACAAAACTATGTACGAAGACAGCAAATATCAAGCAGGAGAAGTGGGTAGGAGAAGGAAATGTAGTAGAAGTAGGTAGGAGAAGAACACACGCACTTAAGACCTATGGCCGGTAACGCAACAAGAGCAAATGGCAAGAACTACATATCCAGTCCTAGGGTGAAGGAATAACAGAGATCGCTATAGAGTTGTCCTAAGCTGGAAAGTTTTAGTCCTGTATCTAAAATTTCTATCCAGGAAGAGAGAACAATAATTGCGATAGTCTAATCAGTGCAACAGGTGCAGGCAGGTTGGCCATCTCACCACACACCGTTTCCAAGACACAGGGCTGGGCTGGAACCGAGACCTGTTGCTGTCCCTGGCTGTGGGGACACGCTGGTGAGCTTCGGCCACCCCCACGAGCCTGGCCTGTCCATGTCTTAATGATGCCTGAGGGGCTGTAGGGCAGACAGCGCACAGGCGCTGGCAAACCTCACACTTTCCATCTTGACAGTGAACTTTCCAACTCGATTATGTAAAGGCTCAGTGCTCTTCAGCCTGAGCTGTTGGCTTCAGGTTTAAAGGCAGGCTGGAATCAAACCATCCAGCCTCCTGCATCACATTTCCAAAAGTCGGTTTTTGTTGATGAAGTCACTCTCTGGCTCCCTTCTGTCCTCCCTTCTGCATGCCCCTGCTTGGAGCCAGCCAAGTTCCCATCAGCTGGGATGGCTGCAGCCCTGACCCGCTGTGTATCATGGCCACAGGGCCAGCATCTGCTTCCTGGGCCTTGGGATGTTACCTGCTGCCTAGAGTGGGACCCATAGCACCAAGCATCAGGGAATCCAGCTGGACAACTATCCAATCCCTACCAAGGGCCTTGGGAGCTAACAGCTGTTCCCCCATCCCCTGCCTCCACACACCCCCACGTCCCCACCCCCGCCTTCTCCTAACAGACAGCAGCTTCCAATCACAGGGAGATACTTTCCAGACAGCCTAGCTAGGCAGAACAGCCAGAGGTTGAAGAGCCTGGTGCAGATGCCCAGCCCAGAGGCATCTCGTAGTCTCTTCCCAGGAGAGCAAACACAGACTAATCCCACCTCCTTCGTCTCCAGATGGCCCCACCACTGAGCAGTTACCAAACTCTGCCACTGCCTTCGCTTCTATTTAACTGGACACTCAGAGCTGGCATGCTGGGACAGCCAGGCTGGACACTCAGCATCCTGGGGGCCTCTGGGGGCTAGAAGCCACGACTTTAGGCAGAAGCTTTCTGCTCTGAATGGCACTGCTTCTAGAGCCCCCTGCCCTCAGCTCTTCAGTCAGCAGCTGTGGATCCACAGTTCAGCCTGTAGCTAAGCCAGCTGCTCGCAAGGCAGAGATACCTTAACTCAGCAGCCAGTGCAACAGAGAAGCTGATCACTATGTCTTGGGGGCAGACCAAGCTTCTCTGACCAAGGGTCTAGCCATAGCTCCAGCAAGCAGTCAGCCAGAGCTGCCCCCTCACCGAGCGGGGATGAGCTCACACATATCTTGCTGACGGTAATTTGTGCGCTCCTCGGCGACCTGCGGTATTTCTGTGCCCACATCCATAGCTTGCAGCCAAGACTGCAAGCAAGAGGCTTGGGTTAGCCGCTCAGGCAGCCTCTCTCTGTCATCTTCCTCCTCTCCTGCTCTTTTTGTCTGACAAATGGGGGGACCAAGGAATGAAAGGAGGCCAGAGCTGATTGAATTTCCAGTGCGTCCTGACCGTAAATGAGGGGCATTCAGAATATATGCTAAACAGCTTGCAAATTAGAGCCCATTATTTCTGAGTGGATGACTCAGGCGCTTTTATAATTGGAATGTAGCGCTGGGTTTGGATCATTTTCCGTCTGTTGTTTTTGCTCAGAAATGTTTTGCTACAAGCAGAAAGTTCTTAAAAGTTAATCCGCACCACCGTGCCAAGGGAAGCTAAACAGCCAGCTTGTGACCCCAGCTGGCCCCGGCTTGAAGCAGGACCCTGAGCCATGCCAAGGACAGGCAATGGGCTGGGTGGCTCTCTGTTGTTCAAAGAGAGAAACAACCCGCATGCAGACACGCACTAACACATACACACATGTGTGCACACACGCACAAAGCAGACAGGCGCGCACAGGCTTGGTGCCCCGCGTCGGCCCCAGAAAGTGCATTGTGTCTACATGCAGAGATGTGTGGAGAGGGAACCGGGACCACTGTGTTCTTGCCCTTTTTTTTTTTTTTTTTTTTTTTTTTTTTTGGTTTTTCCAGACAGGGTTTCCCTGTGTGGCTTTGGAGCCTGTCCTGGAACTAACTCTTGTAAACCAGGCTAGCCTTGAACTCGCAGAGATCTGCCTGCCTCTGCTTCCCAAGCACTGGTATTAAAGGTGTGAGCCAGCTGTGTGTTTGCCTTTAAAAGATAAGTCTGCCTGTAGAGTGTGTTTCACTCACGTACCTAAGGCTGGGCACTCTTCCCAGCATATCTGCGTATCTGCGGCTGGCCAAGGGCAGAGGCGCTGCAGCAGGGACCCCCACCCCCCACCCCCCACCCATGCTGCCAGTCCTGCACATTTGCAGACCTCACCCCTCCTGGAATGAAGCTGCTGAGCCAAGGCCACTCAGGCGCCTGGCATTCCAACCCCAGCAGTATTTTCACGGAGGTGACCCGATGGCTCCTCGTCATGGTGGGGCCGGGTTTGATGTTTTTTTTCCATTATGCACAGATGAAATCCCCATGTCTGCCTCTCTTTTTCTCTTGCTTTGCAGGGCTGAAGTGGTATTAGGAAACATCATTAAGAAGAAAGGATGGAGGTAATTATCCAGTTCTCTGTGGTCTGTCTCCAGGGCACACAAGGAAGGCTGGGGGGTGGAGGGTGGCATGCAATGCAGGAGAGGCAAACACAGCCTAGGGTTCCTGGCTGGGGTAGGCAGGCCATCTGCCTGGGGCAAGCCTGGGCTTGGATGGCACTGCAGTGGAAACCATGAGCGTTTGGGGGATCTTTTTTATTTACTTATTTTTTAATCATTACATTTGTTTGTTTACATGTGGTGGGTACATGCCACATTGTACGTATTGAGGTCAGATGAAAACCTGCGGAAGCTGGTTCTCGTCCTCTACCATGTGGGTTCAGGGAATCGAGCTCAGGGCTCTAGCTTGACAGCATACACCCTGGTTCACTGAGCCAGTGCACCAGCCACCCCCTCCCCCGTGTGTGTGTGTGTGTGTGTGTGTGTGTGTGTGTGTGTGTGTGTGTCTTCTCTCTTCCTCTGTCTCTCCCTCCCTCCCTGCCTGCCCCTCTTCCTCCTTCCCTCCCCCTACCCCTGAGGAAAGTTAATTCAGTACACTGCAAGGGCCAGTAGGCTGAGCAATAACACAACTATTGTGAGGGCTGGGAATGTTGCTAGAGTGCTTGCCAGGCCTGGGTTCCATTCCCAGTGGCAGAGTGAACGCACCTGTCAGGAAGCAGAAGGAGCAGGCTTTCTCAGCCATGGGGAACCCCACCGTGCACACGGTGGCTTGTGGCCACCCTGTAGAATCTTGCTGAAATCTCCCATTGCCCAGTGTTTCCTGCTGAGGGGGGAGACTTCTCAGAACAGAAGTAGCTTCTTCCACCCCCTCCAGAGGGAGCCAGCCTCCACTCCACAGAGGGCGCCATGCCAGCATGGAAGGTCAGGATACCAGAGTTCCCCTTTGTCCCCCTCACTCACAGAGGTTCATGGGATGGGTTTCCTAAACAGTCTTGGTACTCCCAGGTAGCTGGGGCACCGTGCAGAGGTCCAAGTATGAAAGCCTTTTAACTCTCAGCTGAACTCCATCCTCTCCACCCAAGGACCTTAGAGGTAGTTCAACCTCCAGGAGCTCACTGCTTCTATAAAGAGGCCACTGTGTGAGCAGAGGGCAGGCTGTGTAGGTCTGTAGGTCACCAGTCTAGCCTGGCCAGGCCACACTGGACCTAGGGGGGAGCACAGGGGGGGGGCTTCAGCCCAGCCCCCAGCTACATCGTGTCCGCCAGGCTTAGAAGGTGATAGAGCTCAAAGGTAACAGTAGAAGCCGGTCCTACTGTGCTAACAGTCCTACTGTGCTAACGCCGTGTGGAGGCCCCGTGATCAAGACAACCTGTAAGGGAAAGCATTTAATCGGAGGCAAGCATCAAGCCCAGCTCCTCAGGGGGCCCTCATGGGGCTGAGGATACACAGGGATGGGGAGCCGCTATCACATCTCTGCTGTCAGACCCCAGTATCCAGCCTGCAGTGTTGAGGGGCTTGGTCGCATCTGTCAGTGGGGAGATCCAGACCCCGAGCTTGACACCTAGCAAGAGCTTCACAATTCACCAACACCCATTTTACACCAGACTCCCAGACGGGACAGCTGTAGGACCCCTAGGTGGAGGCTAGGGGAAGACCTCAAGGGCCAGCCAGGCCCAGTAACCTCTCTCTTCTACTCTGCAGACGGTCCAGCCTCGTCATCACCACCAAGATCTTCTGGGGTGGAAAGTAAGTGCCACAGTTGGCAATGCTCCCACAACGGCACCCGCAGCCCCCGTCCCTGTGGAGATGCCACTTGCAAAGCTGGGGCAAGGGTCACACTGTTGCTGTCCTTAGGAAGGAGGGGATGTTGGCCTCTTACAGCTACCTGTGGTCTGGGACCTCATTCCAGGCTGGGGACCTCATGCCCATCTGGTGTATCCCCAGACTGCAAGCAACTTTGGCCGAGTTTGTCTTTTACTCAAACCTTGTTTGATTTTTTTTTATTACTTTTACTTACATAGTGGCATTATAAAAATTCTAGAAAACAGAATTATGAACTGTTGAAGCCACCTATCACTCTGCCAGTTTCCAGGTGTCTGGCTGTATGTTCTCTATGGGGCTGGACAAAGTTCATCTCATGGGGGCTGTAAATATGATTTATAGTCTGAGAACGAGGCTCAGTCAGTAGAATGCTTACCAGCCATGCATGAAGCCCCATGTCCCTTCTTACGCCCTATAAACTACAGTGGTCCTTGCCTGTAATCACAGCACTTCAGAGGCTGAGGACTCAGAAGTTGAAGGTCACCCATGACTATGTAACAGATTTGAAGCTAGCCTGGAACACATGACCATGTCTCAAAACAGCAACAAAAAATCCTTTGCTGAGCTTACATCTGTAACCCCAATTCTTGGGAAGCTGAGGCAGGAGGATCATAAGCTTGAGGCCACCCTAAACTATGTGGGGAAAACCTGTCTCAAAAAGCATAAATAAATAAATCCAAGCTGGGCAGCAAGGTGATATTAAAACCTATAGCCCTTGTGCCCACTGCCACCCAGGCTGTGGGTACTCAGCCTGAAGCTGTTATCTGCAGATGTCACGTGTTCTGATCTGCGTTTTTCCTAGCGTAGTGATCATGAACATTATCCCCCAACCGACTGAAACATCTGTTTTTCAGAGCCGAGACAGAGAGAGGCCTTTCCCGGAAGCACATAATCGAAGGTGAGGAAGGGTCTCTAGCCATTATGTCCCCAGCCTGTGACCTCCTGTAAAGGAAAGCTAAGAGGCATGGTAGCCCAACCCTTTCCTTCAGTGATTCAGCCCAGGCCTTGACCCTGAAGCACACGGACCCCTTCTTTGACCGTTCCCTTCTGCTCCAAAAAGCCATGGTGCAGGAGCCCGGCCGTTGAACGAAGGCTGTGCCGAGCCTGGACAGAGATGGTCAGGTTCCAGGCCAGGCTGAGCCGCATGCTGCCTGAATGGTCTTGGGCGGGAGCCATCACCTCCCTGAGCTTGTGTTAAAAAGGCCTAGGAAGCAGAGCTATGAGAGTAAACCCTACACAGGGCTGTTGGGAATAATGGACATGCAGCCCAGAGTGGGGGTGGCTGGATGGGCTCTTCCTCAGTCACATTTATTGTGATCCAAGTGATACTTTTCATGGGGAACATCATCACTGGCTGACCCCACCCCCACCCTGGGCCATGTCTTCACCCTAGCTTTCTGAGCGGTTGGGAGGTGTGGGTTGGGGGACTGTTGAGTCTCACACTACCAGCCTTTTGTACTGTCCCTCAGGGTGATAGCATACCCAGCTCTGCTCTCTTCAGTATAGACCGCCAGGTCCTGGAAGCGGCCCAAGGGACATGCATCCATTTAGTCTCAGGGCATTTGGTCAGTGCTTCTCCTGAAGTCCCCTGGAACAGCCAGGGTGCCCACCTCCCTTTAGGATGCGCCTCATGTCTTGGCATTTCCTCAAGACCCTCACCTACTCTAAAGCTCCATGCGACAGGGGCCTGCTCTCTTCTGACTCCCGTCTCCTGAGCCAGGGATGGGGACATCTAGAGGCACAAAGCAGTGTTGACCCCTCCTGTTCCTCTCCCAGGACTGAAGGCTTCCCTGGAGCGGCTGCAGCTGGAGTATGTGGACGTGGTCTTTGCCAACCGCCCAGACCCCAACACGCCAATGGAAGGTAAGTCAGCTAGTCCATGCAGGCACGACAAAGCCAGGCGACCAACGGTCAGCCCTGAGGCGCTGGTAACTCTCCAACACAACCATGCGGGGCACTTGGGACAGAGGTGGCCAGGCCTCTGGGTGGGGGAGAGGAGGGCCGCCGCCCTGCCAGGCTGAGCCCAGGCCCTGGTCCCGTTCTGTCCGTCACCTGGCTGTGTCCGGGAGCAGCCCCGCCTTCTCAGCTGTGGGTGTTTTGCACCGCTGTGGCTGCCGGGGACTGCTCATTCTTTTCATTCCGGTTCCCCTGGGAGGGCTTAGAGGTCTTTTGCTCTGGGGTAAGTTATTACCTGAAGGAGAGGAAGCACTCCATGCTCTGAAGAGCCGTTTGGGTTTCTTTGGCGTTTATTTATTCCCTGGACTCCCGGTCCCTCCGTCTCTGCCACTTCTGCCTCCACGTCTTCTCATTTATGCTTTGCTGCATCTGGGACTTGGGAGGTTAAGTTGGACTGGTTGTTTTGTCTCCGTTCGCTTTTATATATATACCACACTGGCGTACGTGTGTGTGTATAGCCTTTCTTTTTTGCAGAGCTCTGTTCTGCGGGATGATTTGTGCCGTTCCGTCCTGCCCTTTATCATACCAAGCCTCTGTGTTCCCACAGCGATAAACTCTGGTCTCTTTAAATCTTTCTTTTATCACCAGGGGACCCATTTAGTTCCTTCAAGTCAAGGACATTCATCATTGAAGGTACACAGTACCCTCAGCCGACTATTGACTTCTGTGTCCGAGCTGCATTTTATGAGACAGTATTTTTATTTACACGACTCTCTGTCCCCCATGACAAACTTCTCCATAAAATGCGTAAGGGGTGGGGAAGTGCCCTGTGAGGACATCTTGCAAGCAAAGGGAAAGCAAAGTGGTGTTGGAGCCCTTTGCTGCCCATCCATGCTGCCGTTCCATCCCTCCTTCCCGGAGCGCATGTCCCCCCATTCCATGCTTGTGATGCCGTGATCCGCAATGGCCAGCTGGCTTTCTGCCGGGGTCTCTCTTGATCTGAGGGTGCTCCAGTCCCTGCCTGGGAACTTGAACCTTGGATGGTACGATGGGAAGGGTTTGAAAAGACTAGGTTTCCACAGTGGTCCTGGGACCCCAGACTGTGCAACCCCTGAGACTTACCTCTTTCATAGTTCATGCTTGGTAAGTCCCAGCCTCCAACAGAGGCAAAGAACACCAGCCAGCGAGCTGCCCCGTTTACCACAAGGGTTCCTTGTAAGCACTCTGGCTGCATGTGGTCACTCATGTCTGCTCATCTAGCAGCGAAGATCAAACCAGCCTTAGAACCCTGCCTCAAGGATAGGTCTTTAGTCTCCCTGGGAACTCGGAGGCAGCATTCCACACTGCAAGGGCTCCTGCCTGCTGCCTGCTGCTGCTACCTGACCCCTTCCATATATTATTTGTGATGCTTCGGAGACGCCCTGGGTTTGGGCTGCAGCTGGAAGGATTTAGCATCCCTGTTTCTGTCAGGCAGCATTAATTATTGAGGTGAAAGACAGTCATCCCTACCTGTCACTTTCTGGGTCCACTGACACACTGGTACAGGTGCACAGTGCTCCTGAGCATGTGGCCCACATCTAGCATGCCTCTGCCCAGATCCCCCAGGTGCCCAGGTCCCACTGGCCCTCAAAATAGCCAATCGTACCAGGCTCCTGGCCCATCAACCGCATTCCCAGGTGTCGGGCAGTCTCTGCCTCCCTCGCTGCATGGGAAGGGCGTCGTGCAGTTTCCCTGGCTGCCACCTTCATGACCATGATCAGACAGCTCTGAGGGAGGCTGGGGAGAGAGGCTCCCCGATCTCTGGCATGTGAACCCTAAGCCTTCCTGAAAAGAGTAGGGAAACCATGCTGCATGGTCTCAGGTGCCTCCAAAAGTGTTTCTAAAAATCTTAACAGGGGCAGCTTATCCAGGTGCCTGGGCTCTGTCGAGTAGGCCCTGGGACCCTCTAGGTCTCCTGAAACTTCCCAATCAGGTTCTGAAGTCTTCCCGATGTAAAACACATTGTCAGTTAAAGCCAGTGACCGAGGGAGGTCCCAGAAGTCCAAAACTCCCTTCTCATGCATCCCTCATCTAGCCAAAGAACCACAGACCCCGACCTCAGAAGAGGGGGCAGCAGCAGGGGCAGAAGTAAAGTATGACTGCCCTGGTGTTCTGGGTAAACCTACTGGGACCATTACACCAGAAGCCCCAGTGGCCTTAGTGCCAGAGATGAGTTTGCCCTGGATTCCACCATAGATAGACCTTAGCCAAAGCAATACTTAGGGACCGGGAATGAGCAAGAAGACCCCCCCCAAAAAAAAAACAGGGTAGACTGGAGCCAGCACTGTGCCCCGTGCCAGGAGGGTACTGTGCACCCGGGGGGCATTTCGAGCTAGGCAGGCTGTCAGCTCTGGCGTTCTCCCTTCTCACAGTCCCTGACATTCAGGGACCTCGGCTGCTAGCGTGGGGCGGGGGCATTCAGAGGCGAGGCGGGTGTTACCCCTGTTTTTAGAAGCACTTGCTCCTCTAAGCTCCTTCCCTGCAGGCAGGCTGTCAGCTCTGGCGTTCTCCCTTCTCACAGTCCCTGACATTCAGGGACCTCGGCTGCTAGCGTGGGGCGGGGGCATTCAGAGGCGAGGCGGGTGTTACCCCTGTTTTTAGAAGCACTTGCTCCTCTAAGCTCCTTCCCTGCCTTTGGCTGTCAACCTTGCAAGCACTGTATTAGACCTGTGAGAAATCCACGGAGCCATCCCTCACCCCTCCAAGACCAAGTTCTGCTCTAAGAGCCAACACATCTCTAAGAGGCAAGACAGCCAAGGGAGAAGGCGTACCAATGGCAGGGTTTTTAAAGGAGCTCGTATTACCCATAAATTTTTATATTTGTATAAAGCCTAATTTCAATCACATTCACCCCCATCACCCCCTCCCCCCCACACACTCCTGATCATCCCTTACGCCTTCCCATCCGGTCCTCTTTATACGTTCAGCTGGCGGGTTTTTATGCCCCCAAAACTCTCGAATACAATTAAACATGTGCTCTTGGGGTAGGAGGAGTCCCGCTCTTGCCTTAGAAGAAGATGAGGTAGGGGATGTTTCAGCCATTTACTCCTTAGGTGGTTATAAGTCTCAGCTTTTGTGGAACCTCGCAACTATTTGCTCCAGAGCTTGGCCCTGCACAAAAGGGACAGTTAAACCCCGCCCCGCCCCACCCCCATCGCCCTGAGACTAGGCTGTGCCAAGTGAAACTCCAGTCCGGGCATGGTCTGCTCAAATCTTTCTGCTTCTGGCTTCCCAAGCACAGGGACAAGAAACACAGGCCCTCAGAGCCCCAGCCTCAAGGGCCTGCCTTTGTCCCTACAAACACCATCTTCCCTCTCAATGAAGTCCTCAGGACTCTGGTGAGAATGGCCTTCAGTAACCAGCAGAGCTGTGTTTGCAAGCCTTGTTAATGTCATGGCCTTGGCCTGTCTGATTGCAGCCTTTATACATCCAGCTGGTCCCGAGTGACCAGGATCCCTACTTCCTCATCCTAGAGTCTGAGACCCACTCTTGTGGTCCATAACCCCTCCCTCATCCCACGTAGCCAGCCATGGGGACATCGGGCTACCCACAAGCCTTTTTCCAGGGTTCCCAACAAGCCTTGCCTAGTCAGAGAACTCTTCCTCAGGGTTTCAATTCCATTTCCTTTTCTCCTGGAATCTGCCCCGCCCAACACCCACACTCTGGGAGCCAGGAAGTACACTGCTTGCAAGATGCCTTTGCAGCCTGATCCCTCCCCCTGGCAACCCACCTACATCTGCAGACCATCCCCAGGCTGGGCCAGCCGCTCCAACCCGTGGTCTCCTTTCTCTCTCACAGAGACCGTGCGGGCCATGACCCACGTCATCAACCAAGGGATGGCCATGTACTGGGGCACATCACGCTGGAGTTCCATGGAGATCATGGTAGGGTGACACCCGTGTGTCCACAGGTGTGGGTTCCTTGTGGGAGGAGATCCCAAGACCGGGGCACATGTGTGAATAGCAGGGTGTGTTGTCATGGGCATGGGTCTCGGCTTGCCTCGCAGCAACGTGCATGGCCCCGGATGGATGGCTTGCCCCCTGGTTCTGTAGGACAAGCCTGATGGCATGACCCTCAGTACCTTGCCACGTGCCTTTTATTCTGGGCTCCTAGGATGTTCTGTTAGATTTAAGGGCTTTCCCACAGCTGATGCCCATTTAGCCTCTCCAGTACCACAGTAGGTAAAATGATGGTGCTACCTTCTGCCTCAGATGGGGAAGTCACGGACAGAGGGATTAAGCGCTATGCTTATGTCAAGACTGATACCCAGACAATGCTGGTGGGAGCCTGGGGTGCCATTCAGGAAAGCACACCAATAATTGTCATCTCTTTCCATGGGAGCCTAAAGAGGCTAGAACAGCCTGTGTTCCTATGTATTTCTGGGGTTCCCAGGAAGAGCCAGCAGGATGTCCCTGTCCTCGAAGACACGGAAGAGAGTGGCCCAGATGGCAAGGCTGCCTCCATCCTGCAGCCTGCAGGCAGGGAGGTAGCGAATGCTCATTCCTGTCAGGCTCCTGCCTCCACTCCACATCCAGCCTCACCCCTACGCATGCCCAGTGTCTCAGCATCCCAGGCATACAGCACTGCTGTAACTTCAGTGAGCCCCACGTTACTGGTTTGTGGTGCAACGGGATTTTTCCCCTAATCCCGGGGGGTTTCAGAGGCCCCTGGCATAATGCAGGGTTTGAGTGGATTAGCAAGCCTGTGTGGGACATCTGGCTGACTTCCCGCAGCCAGCACAGGACTCAGAAATATGTCCGTCATGAGGAAGCCGAGTCTCAGACCAAAGTGGAGCAGGGCCTTTCTTTCTCAGTGGCAGGCCTGTCCCCACCGTAGAACCGTCTACAGGCCATAGATTCAGTTCTCCCATCCGTTGAGAGAGTGCCTTCAAGCCAGGCCCCAAGCTCCTGATCCCTAACGAGCTGATGGAGCTGCTGCCTCCGGAAGGCCTTTGCAACCACCGAATTCATCACAGGTCCAGGACCCTGAGTGCCAGCCACAAGCGGGGCCCTGTTGGAAGGGCTGCAGACACCCTTGGCTCATTGGCACCTCATGACAAATGGGAAAGCTGAGGCACCGTATCCCACCCTGCCACTGGCCACAGCCCTCACCACACTCGGATTCCTAAGCCTGCCCTCTTTTCCTGGCTCCCGCGATGCCTGCTCAGACTCAGGAAAGCTGGGGGTGGAGGGAGCAGCGAGGCCTGGGATGCCTCCGCGTTCTTTACCTGTGGCCCCCAGGCCTGCTGTTACAGCAGTCCCCTTCTGTACCTCAGGAGGCCTACTCAGTGGCTCGGCAGTTCAACTTGATCCCACCTATCTGCGAGCAGGCTGAATACCACATGTTCCAGAGAGAGAAGGTGGAGGTCCAGCTGCCAGAGCTGTTCCACAAGATAGGTGGGTGTCAGCCTTACCTGCGCTTACCCATGCCTCAGGGCCCCAGCATAACCTTGCCTGCTCTCTCCCCCCCTCTCTCTCCCTCTCAGGAGTGGGTGCCATGACCTGGTCCCCTCTGGCTTGTGGCATCGTCTCAGGAAAATATGATAGTGGCATCCCACCCTACTCCAGAGCCTCTCTGAAGGTGAGCCCAGCTGGGATGGAGAGGGACACCTTTGGCATAAGAACATAAATAAAGGCCTGATTCTGGCCTGGTTCCAAGTCTTTAAGGGCCTGCCACCCATGGGACAGACCCCAGATAAGCGGGCCCATGACCACTACCACCCCTTAGCATCTTCCGTGGCTCAATAATCATAGCACAGGCTGGTTCACTATTGCAGTAGATTGTGCTGCCTTTCCCATGATCCCCCTACTCTGCCATCACAGAGACCCCAGACAAAACTTTGGGCACATAGTTGGCCCCAAGTCGAATGCTGTTCCCCTGTTGAATACCCAAGAAGCATGAGGGTGATCATATTTGGGAGACAAGAGCCCTAGAGCCCCAACTTAGATCTGACTTTCCCGAGCCTGAGCCCTAGGAGGCTCCTCAGGGCCCCAGGTGCCCTGTGCCTCTGGCCCAGGCTCGGGTCTGTCCACCACAAACCTTGTCCTTCAGGATATGGAAGGGTCTGTCTAAGTCTGGCCCAGTGCAAACATGAGACCAGACGACAACGGTGGCCTTTCCTTACCTGGAGCTTGTCCCTTCCCAGGGCTATCAGTGGTTGAAGGACAAGATCCTGAGTGAGGAGGGTCGGCGTCAGCAGGCCAAGCTGAAGGAACTGCAGGCCATCTCCGAGCGCCTGGGCTGCACCCTCCCGCAACTGGCCATAGGTAATTGGCTCTGGGTATAGCAGGACGGGAGGCTGTCCCTGAGGTCCCTGAGGTCCCTGAGGTCCCTGAGTGCCTAGGCTATACCTTCACCAGCTGGCTATGAGTGTTGTATCTAGCGACAATAGAGTAGCCAAGGAGAGAAAAATGAGGGGCCCTGGACAGCACCCCCTTGATTACCAAGGTAAGGACTCTGGGGGTAGAGTTAGAATCTTTGTCTCTTTAAGAAATAGACCACCAGCCTGTACCCTCCGTCAGCTAGCCAGGGGTCATGGGGACAGGGTCTCTGAGTGCTTGGGCCACCTGTCCATCAGAAGCAATGTGGCCGGAGCTGTCCACCCTTGGGCAAAGCCACCGGGTACCACCGAACCTCGTAAGCAGCCTTGCACCCCAGATGAGAGCTTGAGTGTCTATGCCCAGGCATAGCCGGGCAGGACCTGCAGAGGGCACCTCCCTCACTTCTGGTCTTGCTGCCCACAGCCTGGTGCCTGAGGAACGAGGGCGTCAGCTCTGTGCTTCTGGGTGCTTCCAACGCGGAGCAACTTATGGAGAACATTGGCGCAATACAGGTGAGATGGGGCCCTGGTGGCGGGCCCAGGCATCTCCAGCCTTCCTGGATACACAACTTCACGGAGCATCCCTCCGGGAGCACGGGACATAGGGAGGCATGCAGGGGTGGCAGAGGGCCCTGTTCCTGGGGAGCCATTTCTCACGGGGACAGACATAAACATTGCCCTGAGGCAACCACCACCGTGGGAAGAAGAGGCAAGGGTTAGGCAAGGACACTGAAATGCGGGAGGGGGCGGGGCCGCAGAGGCGTTAGAGACCAGCTAGGCCTTGTGAAGAGCTTTGAAACAAACTCAAAGGGACTGGAAGGATGGGGAGGGAGTATGCAGCCACCCAGCAAAGGACCCTTTGTGGGACAGGAGGTCAGAGGGCTGGAGCAAAAGGCCAGACCCTGCAGGAGGTTTGACCTGGAGCAGGGGAGCCCTCAGGTGAGCATTTAGAAGCTTCTGCTCTTGGTGTGGATGGAGGCACAGAGTAAGATGCCATTTGGGATGCTAGGAAGTCACCCGCCTGTCTTCAGGCCAGGCTAGACTCTTATCCTCACCTGCAGGTCCTTCCAAAACTGTCGTCTTCCATCGTCCACGAGATCGACAGCATCCTGGGCAATAAACCCTACAGCAAAAAGGACTATAGATCCTAAGTCTCCCCCACCGCCTGCTTGGACAGTTTCCAGTTCCCTCCCCGTCTCTGTCCGCTCGCTTCTGCTGTTTCAAAGCCAAATGCAGAGTGTGGTTTGTATCCAAGGGGAAAACACTATGCCCAGACGTTACCAGGAAATGATCTCCAAAGTCACCGCCAGACGCCACCTGCTGCTTATCCATCCTCACTGGATGCTATCTGATGGGTGCCAGGAGATGGCATCGATCAAAGGCTCCCGCCCAAGCCCAGCACCTCTGCTTATCCTTCAAAAGGGAACACTTGCCCCCCCCCAGCCACAGCCCTTCATGGAGATTCCAGAAGTCATGGCTGAGTGGAAATCTAATCCTCAGAGCATGCAGGGCTGGCCTCTCTGCCAAGAACCCCTACCTCCAAAGCAGGGTCCACTGCTTCCTAGCATCCCTTCTTCCGCCACATCCTGGTGGTTAGGGCAGGGCCTCCATCTTTCCTTGGACACCAGGCACTTTGTTCAAGGCTGGCCTGGGGTCCCATTCTTCCCAGACCTTGACATTCCCCCCTCATGCCCAGGGGCCTTGGCTGGGATTATACCAACCTAACTGACCCTTGGCCTCCACCCTTACCCTTGCTGGCAGGGGCAGGGATCGCAGCTAGCTTTCCCAGCATCATCTACCCTGTATACAACTGCTGAGCCCCACAGCAGGGAAGCCCGGCAGGCTCGGGTGGAGCCCGATGGAAAATGCCCCTCTGAGACCTGTAGATGCATGTGGCACCTGGCCACACCACAGGGAGGTAACAGCAGACTGGGCCCGTACTCGCAAACCCATACTCCTCTCAGACCTTCTCAAATACCTCTGTCATACTGGAGCAGTGGGCTTGTGGCCTGGGCTCTGCCTGGAAAGGGCATGTGGAGTTTTTCAGTGAGCGGGTTCCCTGGGGTTTCTGTTGCTGCAAGGGAAGGGACTGGGAGGTGGGGGGGGGGATGGGGAGGACAGAACTCCAGTAACAGTCCCGAGGTTGTAAGAAAAGATCCCCAGGGACCTCTCCCTGAAAAGATGGCCAGGCTGCTCATTCCCTGCTGTGTACCACTGTGCTAGCCTAGGACAGGCTGCAGAGAGGGAGAAAGGGCAGGATGCGCAGCCCCTTAGCAGGGGAGCGAGGCAGATGGTGGTACCAGGAAGCCTGCAGGTTTGAGCAATGCATGCTGCCTGCAGGTCCAATCCCACAGTCCTGAGCAGCCTTGGGGACAGGGTCCTACTGTATGTGCCAGCTGGCTCCCTAGACTGAAGCCTCCTGCCCTGAAAAGGCAGTGTCCAGTCCCCGGGAGTACACCCTGGGTCACAGCACCCGGCTTCTGAAATGAAGCTGTCCTTCCCCATCTATTGCCCAGCCAGAGCTGGGCAGAGGCTGAGGCAGGGTAGGCAGGATGGAGAGACGAGACAGGAAGAAAGGCCAGCAGGGCAGGCAACTTCCTGTCTCCCACACAAGCCCCCTGCAGACCCCGGGCTGTCAGACCCTCACTGCTGCTGGTAGCCCCAAGCCCTGAGGTCTCAGAAGCAGCCCTGTGGGTGTGGGGATGGGGGCCTCTGGACTCGGGCAACCGCCATGCCCAGCTAGAGGAGCCTGCTTCCAGGACAGGGCCCTGCCATGGCCCAGCAGGAAGTAGCCAGCCCTGTCCACACAGCTGGCCTGGGCCCTGCTTGCTCTGTGGATTAGGCATGCAGGGGTTCCCACGGTAGGAACCGCTGCGGCCCGTGGGCCAGACCTCAGAGCAAAGTCCCTGCCGGGTGTGTGCAAGAGATGGGAAGACAGGCTGCAGGGTGAACTGGGCTAAGACCCATGTGAGCTTGGAAGCAGGCAAGTGTTTCTGAGGTGTTTTCTTCCGCATCCACTTTTGAGGAGTTTTGGGGGCTTTGCTCGAGGGCAGGATCACCTGCCTCTATGGAGGGGTTTGGGTAGGAGGGGCTTGGGATATCACAGAAGACACATGCAGGCAGCCTGTGGCCCAGGAAAGAGTCTTAAGCTAGCTCCTTCCCCCATGGCCACAGATCTCCCCTCCTCCAGCACCTTCTCACATTGAAGCACAGCCAGCCAGGCCTGGTGCAGGAGGGGGCTGCTTGGGGGACCTGGCACATGGAGCCCGGCTATTGCTCATCCCAGACCCAAGGTCCTGAGGCACAGCAGGACACCCGTGTGCCCTGCTCCTGCCAGTCATGTACATAACGTGCTTTCTCTCCCCGTTTTTTTAATGAGCGCGGCTCCTTGCTAATTGCATCCCACCAGGCCGACCGCAAAGCGCCTCCGGCTTCCCTGACAGACTCAGACGGAGGTGCAGCCCGTATTTATGGAATGACAAATAAAACCCGAGCCCTTCTGTCTCCATGCCTCCGTCTTCTTGTTTTCTCGGAGGCAGTGCCGGAGGGAGGGCAAAGCCATCAACTGCAGGGAGCTGAGGTCTTGGGTTCCCTATCCCTAAACCCAACCCTGCAGTCAAGGACAAAATGGAAGTCGGGGCCCAGGGGCAGGGGCAGATGGGATGAATCAGTCAAAGGTCCAGTCCCACCTCTCCCAGATGACATCTCTGAGTCCCTTCATCATACACTCATCTCTGCTGACTCCTCCAAAGGCCCAGGGAGGACGCCTTGAGGAACCAGCTGGCTGTTGTCTTCATGTTGATGGTTTGGGGAGGGAAGGGCATGGGTCACTGCAGTGTCTGAAGGTGCCACTGGGATGTGCATCCCCCAGCTGCTGTTTGCGGTCTTCCCTTGGGAGCTGAGCCACGGGCGCAAGTCATGACATAGAAGACTTGGAACGTGCCCTCACCGCCCCTGCCCTCACCGCCCCGGCCACCCACATCCCCGTTCTAAGTCAGCAAGTCTAACAACCACAGCCATTCCATCCCTTCCCAAAGGGTTTATTAAAACACAGAAACCAAAACATACACACAGAATACAAGTGAAGATAACAGTTGGCTAGCCTGTCCAGCCTCCCCCAGGACAGCCTTCAGAGGAGCCAGGGTACATGCCCCTGTGTCCCTGGCTGAGATGCTCCAGCTAGCCCCAAGTGCCTGCTCCTGCTTCGCCGGGGTGTGCTGGATGGGGCGTCGGCACAACAGATACCAGCCTGGCCTGGGCAGGAAGAGAACTCCCTGTAGCGTCTAGGCAGGCAGCAGGGGGCCCTCCCTCCTCTCCAGGCCGGGTGGAGGAGCTGCCTCTGAGCCGGGCTCCTCTGAGCCAGGCTCTGGTCCCTATGTGGCTATGTGGAGAGTTCAGGACATATACACACACACCCAACAGGTCCTTTCTGGGTTATCGCACCTAAAAAAATACTTTGTTTAAAAAGAAAAATCTGGAAAATTAAGAGGGAAAAATATCCATAAACACGAGGACACCAACAACTTTGGGCTGATGCACCACAACCTGTAAACTTCCGGGTATATAAACTGGGCAGGTTGGCTTCCTCCTTCCATGCTGTGTTCTGCGTAGGAGCGCCTTGGGGGTGGCTGTCCACCCTTGTGGGCAGGCCAAGTGAAGGTGGAGAGAGGGTCAGCCTAGGCCCCCACCCCCTCCCTTGGCACACACTACAAGCTCCAAGCATCAACACCTGCCCGCTCTATGGAACTACAAGGATCTCGGGGCCCCTAGCCCGCCCTCAGCATGCCCCGTGCAGGGCCTCAAGACTTAGACTGGTTGCAGGTGTCACTGAGCCTATATGGGTTTGGGAGCACCCAGGGGGTGGGGGAGGGAGCCCTGGCTCACAGGTGGCCCTGGGGTACAGAAAGTAGAGGAGGCACTTCACAGACATGCACGGGAGTGCATGAGAGGGTGCCCTCAGACGCTGGAGCTCTGACCCAGATTCCCTGTGTCCCCCTGAGAGCCACCCCGCACCTTCCACAGAAATCCCATAGACTTGAGTGAATCCAAGTGGCTGAAAATGCTATGTCACCGTGGCTCTGACAGGGTGGGCACGGGGACCCCTTTTCTGTCAGCAGCAAAACTAGAGCCAGCCTCAAGATGCCACCTATGGCCCATCACACTCTGGCAGGAGATTGCTGAGGGACCTGCAGGACCTTTGTCCTCTCCCCAGCTGCCTGGGCAGTCTACTCTCCAAAGCCTCCCAAGTGCTGGTCATGGAGAACACAGACCTTCCCAGGCCAGCAGGGGACTCAGGTCAAAGTGGCTGTGGAGAAGAGAAGCCGTGGGTGGGTGGGAATGCCCTAGGAAAACGTGGACTTGAGGGACAGAGCAAGACTCCTGGGAGACATCATCAGGGAAAGGGTGAATCCTTGGAATGGAGCCAGAGTCCTGTGACCCACTTGTGTCTCCAGACCCAAGTGTCAGGGTCAGTCCCCTGGGGCAAAGGAGGTGAGCACTGTCCCAAGTGAGGCCAGCAGGGCTGACTGTCTTGCCCAGTGGGATTAGCACAGGGGTCTTGGGTTGGGAACAAGCTGATGGCAGCCACTCCCATTCAGGGGACAGCCCTTCTTAGAGATTGGGGTCAGCCACCATGATACACATCCTGGAGACCTATGGCATGCTCAAGCCTGCAGAGGTCCTGTCTGTGACCAGAGTCCCCCTGCGCCTGCGCACAGTGTCCAGCCAGTCTGCTGGCCTTGAGATTTGGACAGAAACTGAAATGCGGGAGTATTACGATGGAAGAAGGCGTGGGGTGCAGCCCTCCAGGCGTTCAGAGGAGGAACTATGTTACAGATGTGCACATCTGGGCCAAGGCAAAGCTGGGCAACTGCCCAAGTGTCCTTAAGACAGGCAGTGGAGACCTGCCCCATCCCTGGAGGGCCCTCCTGGAGGGCCCCGGGAGGAGAGTCTGGACCCCTCCAAGCTCCCTGGCCTCAGACCCTGGACTTCTCCCCATAAGCCCTTCCTCACCTTCAGGGAATACTGAACCCCAGGGCACCTGCCTGGGAAGCGCCAAGGCAAGAGCCTGGAAGTCTCCAGGTTGAGCCAGGGCCAAACAAGAAAGTCAGACATAGGCCAAGAGCAGGTCCGCCCCACCCTTACCCCAGCATGGAGCGTTCCATGGTGCTACAGGGTGGGGTGGAGCAAGACAAGTTGGCATGACAACACTAACGTGGGAATATGGTCCTGCCACTCCAAGGCATCCCTGCAGGAAAGAAGGCAGAGCCTCAGAAGCTCCGGCTACAAAGGATCTAAAGAAGCCATCGGGGCCGGTCCCACCTCCAAGCACAGCTCTCTCCGCACCCTCTGAGAGCCAGCAAGGGGCCCTGCGTCCCCTACCGCATGCTGCAGTTAACCCTAGTCAAGGCCTCTATGGGACCTAGACAGAGATAAGTCCATCCCCAGGGAGGCCTGGCCCCTTGACATCTGTGGCCCAGGGTGTTGTGCGCAGGGAAGTCTGTGCCAAGGTGAGTGGGACAAGTCTCCCAGGGCCACCCAACACGGCCCTCTCTCCTAGGGCCCCGGCTTCCGCCTGCCTACACCACACTCCTGCAAACAGCAAATGTCCAGAAGCCCCTGTAGGGGCCCATATGTGCCCCACTTTGTGAGGCACCCTCTTCCACCTGCCACACATCGCTGGGGCCTCCACATGTCCACTGGGAACAACAGATTCCAGAGCCTTTGAAGATATGTGCCCCTGCCAGGAGACAAAGTGTACCTGCTGATCCCCAACCCTAGTGGGAAGGAGATAGAAAACCCCAGCCTGGGGCGTCACCAGGTTAGGCAGCCACTCTCCAGACCTGATCCCTCCTAACACTAGGATCCCAAGTAGGCAGGGGCCAGGGCAGAAGGGCAGTCACACAGGTGTAGACGGGCAGGGGACACACTAAGGGCTTCCAGAACACAGGATGTTGCATTCTCCCAGCTGGAATGAGTCCACAGAGCAGTGCCAGGGGTCTCCAGAGAACTTCCCCTTGAGGTCTGGAGCCGGGTGACAGACAGGAGCGTTGCAAGTCTGAATCTTCCACACGTCATCCAACTTTTTATCAAGACAAACACGTTCGCATCTTCGGTAGGAAAGTGCTAGAAAAGTACAGGTGAATGGGATTTCCTCTAAGAAAGTCACTCTGGAAAAGGTGCCAGGGCCTTGCCCAGCATGGCCGAGGGTGGGACGCCGTGCGGAAGAACACTTCAGCTATGATGAGATGGCACTTCTGGGCTCTTGCGCAGCCAGGCTGGGCCTTGTCCTCTGCGTGATAGAATTGCTTGGTTTCTCTTTTGTGTCCCAACACGGCACCAACTCCTAAAAGGGCTGTAGTTTTTCTCTCCCGTGGGGGTTGGGCAGGTGGCCCGGCTGCAAAAGGCAAACCAGGGAGTTACACAATTGGGTGGCCAGGTACCCAGAGGCACCCCAGTGGTCACACTTATGATCACAGGGAATCCCAGAATTAAGACCCCCCTTAATCACTGCACCCCAATTACTGGAGCCCCAGCAGCCAGCAGGCTCTGCCTCTGGCCTTGCATCTACCATAAAGGGATAGGATAGACAGGACTTGGAGATGGCCATCACAAGAGACCTCTCTGAATCCCCCATCTCCACTCCCAAAGCCATTAATACACTCAGCCCCTCAAGCATCCCCCCCCCCCGTTCTTAAGCAGAGAATGAGGGTATAAAACAAGCAACTTCCTGGGGCCAAACATCATGCAAACAGGTCCAGGCTGGGAGCACTGATCCTGATACATGGCTAAGAACACATGCACACATCGATGTCCACTGGAATACGCACGCGCGCGCACGCGCACACGCGCACACACACACACACACACACACACACACACACACACAGAGAGAGAGAGAGAGAGAGAGAGAGAGAGAGAGAGAGAGAGAAGAGACACGACCACGGCCAGCCACAATGTGACTCAAAGCTACCAGCCACATTTAGACTCCAAGGCTGGGAGGCATGAATCAAGGACAGACTGGAGGGTATGGGACAGTGGAGTGGCCAGCAAACCCCCTCACCTCAGCTGGAGAGGAGCGCTGCAACAGGGGGATGTCACGAGGGCGACTAGATGTCTGCCAAGAAGAGATCAGAGCATGGGCTTGCCTGGCATCCCCGGCAACGGGCAGGCTGGGCCCCAGAGGGCCACTGTGTGCATGCTGCCCGGAAGCGGATGGGGACCTACCAGTCACATAGGGCCCCAGGGGCATCTGGTTGTAGTTGACAATCCCTCCCGGTCCAGGGCCCCGGAAGTTAGGCCCAAAGCTGTTGTTGTGCATCTGGGAGGAGCCGAAAGCGCCCTGGAGGCAAGGACCAGCTTTACAGGTGACAACCAGAACATCACCCAGCCCCACCCCCCACCCAGGGTCACCCACCCATACAACAGGGGGACCCAGGCCCACGATGCAGTGTGCAGGCCAAACCTGACCTGCTGGATGGTGGGGTCACCGGCACGGTTGGTGAGGCGACTCAGGATGCTTCGCTCGGACATCTGCAGACGGGCCGCCACCGGGGGGATGCGTGACAACATGGAGGGCAGGCGCGTCACATCCGCCTTCATGTCACTGAGCAGTTCCTCCAGCTGGTTCAGGACTGCAGGGTGGGAGGGCCTAAGAATGGAGGGCTTGGTCTGCCCTCCACAGCGGCCATACAGGTAGTGGCCGGGAAGGTGCCCTTTACATACGTCACAGCGCACACCCAAAAGTACAAAACCATGGGGGCATCCCTCACCGGGCTCTTCAAACCCTGGGAAGCCCAGGATTGCCTACTGGAGAAACAGGGTTTGCAAGAAAAGCTCCTCCAGGGGTCCCTCCCGGCAGGAAAGAGTTCCAGACACCTGACTGTAGACTCCCTCTCTGGGTGGCCAGCAACCCCACCTAACACCAGGTCACTAGTGCCCACGGGCCATAGCTGCCAGTGGAGACAGCGTGGTTCAGACCTTCATGTGTGAGCGAAGGGCTAGCCACATCCCTTTCCACTCTGGGCTCTGCCTTGCCCCAGTGATACTGGGAGCCCCCAGAACAGAAAAGCAGAGATCTGGAGCAAGATTCAAAGGGGGCCTTGGGCACACTGCCCCCCTTCCTAAATTCCTGCACCCTTGCCCCAAATGTGTCCCTGCGGGCACAGGACTCGCTCACCCCTGTGCAGGCCAGCAGTGGGCGCACTAGTGAGGCCTCCGATCTCATTACCTCTGTGCTACCCACCACGGCCTGTGCCCTCCTTGTCGGCATTTCTGTGAGGGGCTTAAAGGGGGGGACCTCGTTTCCCTGCAGATGAAATGAGGTACTAGGGCAGAGCTGTACCCTTGTGGTCCCAGAGGCCTCACCCTCTGGGCACGTGTCCTATCAGCACCTCCAATCGAGGCCAAGCATGCTCCTTGGGTGTGATGGTGACTGGGCTGCACCGCCAGAGGCAGGCAACGGGGCTCACTCACCCTTGTGCAGGACAGCATTGGCAGGCTTATTCCCAGCAAGGGACTCCTTGGATAGGTGCTGGTGACTCTCGGCAAGGCATTCCACCTCTGCCAGGCGAGCATTGAGAGCCATGGCTGGGTGGTTGGGATCCTGGGTCATGTTGAGGTACGCAGCCCTCCGGAGCTGTTCCTCGATCACCAGTGCCTGCTCCAGCAGCTGGGGGTGTGAAGTGACAGGACTGGCCTGTCCCCTCCTCCCTCGGCCACTGCACCCTCCTCCCAACAGCACCCACCGGAGCTGGGGCACTGGGCTGGCCTCCTGCTTCCCTCTTAGCCTGATCTATCGGCCCTGCAAACTGAGTTTTCGGATCCCGTCCCCCGGGCGGTGGGGGATGCTCACATGCTGAGGCCTTGCCTGCATGGGCTGACTGACCCCTCAGAGGAGAGCCCGGCCCGGGTTTAGATAAAGGGATGGGTGGAAGGGCGACATCCTTGAAGGCCCCTACCTTGAATCTGCGGGCCAAAAACTTGTTCTTCATTTCCAAATAGTTGCCCTTGTGGATCTCAGATTTAAAGGGCTCATTGAGGATCGTGTAGCGTGGGTCATTCTGAATGTCCTGCCAGCGGGCATAGCCATGCCTGGGGGGTACAGTTAAGGCCAAAGCTGACCAAGGGGATGAGGGGCTTGACAGCAGGGGTAAGGTGGAAGCAACCAGGGTCCCAGATTGTTGTCCGTATGCACCCAGGCAAGTCACAGACTCAGCTGCAAAATGAGCACGCCGGTCACGATGACGACAGTGACATTAGCTGGCGATGACAGCCTCTGAGTGTTGACGCTATCCCAACGCCCCAGAGGAACACATGCAAGTCCCAACCCCTGACGCCTAGAAATGTGGCCTTGGTCCAGGTGTGATCAAGGGGGGATCAGAGGATGAGGGGGAGCCTAAATCCCAGTGGCGTGTCAGGAAAGCTGCTGTGGGGAAGACACAGACAGACGAGACAGATGATGACAGAACACGATAGAGAGGCCGGCAGAGGGGCGTCAGGGTTACGGGCAATCACCAGAAGCTGGGAGATGGAGGGAAGGTCTTCCCTAGAGACTATAGGTCCCCGAGGACCAGGGAGACAGGCCAGTGTCATCCCAGCCTGACTGACCAAGGATACGTCACGATGCCTGCCAGCAGCCAGTAATCGTGGCGTCGGTGCCAGATTTCGTAGATTTTTCCCGAGGACACGGCGGCCCGTTCCTCATTCTGCCACAGTGTGTGCAGCTCTAAAGAAAGAAGCCAAAGTGAGCAGAAGACAAGGTTTCCCCCTGCCCTGGCGTGTGCACAAGCTTGCTCAGCACTGGCCGTCACCCGGCCTCAGAGGAGCACTGCTCCACTATTGCTAAGAAGGCATAACAGACTGTCATCGACCGTTCATACCCAGTATCAAAGTGCCCAGACCCTGGGAAGTGGGGCCAGTGGGCCCTTGTCCACCGAGCCACCTCCGCACCTGTGAAGCCTCCGTCTGCAATGTTGAACATGAATTTGAATTTCCCATTCTTGTCTTCTTTCTTCCCCTCCTCATCTTCCTCTCTGTCTCCATTTTGCTGTGTCTCCATGGGCTCCTTCTCCTCAGCCTTGGAGTCATCTGGTGGGGAGGTGACAGGCCATGTTCACTGCCTCCCCAGAGGATGTTACCCAAAGCCCTCTTCCTGCCATGCACCGGGATCCCCAAAGACAAGTGGGACATGTCTGTCCTCCGTGTGGTCATCACACATGGGGACTTAAACGGAAAAGGCTAGGGACCCTGTCTTTCCACCCAGAGCAGGGTCTAGGCCCTAGCGCCCCTCCCCCACCACACTAGAACAATCTTGGAAAAGAGCACCGTGAAGGGAGGCTGGAGGGAGGGCGCGGATCAGAGGGTGTGGACACGCCACAGCTGATGTGCAAACAAACTGAGCCACGGATGGTCTATGACCAGTGCCACTCCCTCTCTGGGTGACTGGGGTGACAGGAGGGGTAAGGAGGGAGGCTGTCCCCTGGAAAAAGAGGGGACACTGGCTGCTACCAGGGCCTGGGGACAGCACCAGGGACACTGACCAGGAGGCGTAAGGCGGGGCACCAGAAAAAGCGCCCACCTGGCCTGAAATCGCCGCTGTGACTCGGGCTAGGCTCCAGCTTGTCCGGGATGGGCTCCTTGTCTGACAGCACTTCCTCTGCAAAGCAAGGAGGGCACATAGGCAGAGGGTCCCTGTCCATCAGAAGTGCCCCGGGATACAACAGGCACAGCCTAGTGGCAGGGCTGGCCTCTTCCCACAAAGCCAAGCCCCACCCTCAACCCAGGTCTGTCTGCCAACACATCAGTCATCAACACACAAAGTGCGTGTACGTGAGCTGGTGCGTGTGCACATGGAAAGGAGCTCGTGCATGTACGTGTCCAGGCCAGAAGTCGACGGCCACCTTCATCACCATCTCTCTATCTCTCGAGGCAGAGCCTTATCCCATGCGGGTCACTGGTAGATTGGCGGCAAGCCCCAGGGTCCCTCCTGTCTCCATCCAGCACTGGGATTACCGGATTACTGTTTTTTGGGTTTGGTTGGTTGTGGGGGGAGGGTTGATTGGGGTTGGGGTTTGTTTCCATTTTTGTTGTTTTGTTTATTGCTGTTTTGTTTTTTGCCTTTGTTTTGCATGGGTCACAAAAATCCTACTCAGGTCAGTGTTGCCAGCACGCACTAAGCTGTCTCCAGACCTCTCAAAGGAAACGTTAAAGCCAAATGTAACAAGAGGGATGGTAATTGTTACAGACTACTGGAACTACCAAAAGCTTCTTCACAGGAAAACGCAAGCAAGACCACCTGAAACAGAGTACCAGGTGATCCTACATTCAAAACAGCTGGACAAAGCAGCCTTGCAGACTACAGCCAGGATTTCTGAATCTTCTTCGAATCCCCCATGACAGCGCCCCTTACCAACAGGAAGTAGTTTGGAAAGAACGACGCCCAAATTCCCAAATATTGTCTATAAATGTTTGTTTTCATTTAAATGGACTTGGTTATATAAAATAAATAAATAAATAAAAAGGAAATACAAAAGGAAGATTGGCTAACACTATCTGGTGTGGTACTGGGCCTTTGATCAGACTGAGGTTTCAGACTCAGACTCCCAGAGGGACTCAGACTCCCAAGAAATGACTGACCACAGCGAACACCACTGAGGGCACTGAACAACCTTAGCAGTGTAATTAACAGGTTTCACCAAATGATCTGAGATTTGCATTAAGAACCTCACACCCCAATGGGCGGTGGTGGCATACACCTTTAAGCCCAGCACTCAGGAGGCAGAGGCAGAGTTTGAGGCCAGCCTGGTCTACACAGTGAGTCCCAGGATAGGCTTCAAAGCTACACAGAGAACCCTGTCTCGAAAAAACAAACAACAAACAAAAAAACTTCACATCCAACCACCTTTTTGCAAACTCTGGCCATGTTAAGCCAGAAGCAAGTCTGACTGTGTCTGGATGGACTGGTGTTTTCAAACCAGAAGCAAGTGAGTTGGGACGCTGTAATCAAAACATGGCCCAAGGGCCCCAAACGCTCCGTGACAGCGTTAGTGTCTGTGCATAGACCTGACCCCTTGCCCTTCCCAACACCGGGGAGTCGGGCACAGCTGGCACCCAGGCAGGGCAAATAGATGTGAGTGTGATGCACTGGCCAGCCCGGGGCTACAGCTCAAGCGCTGTGCTGAGAATACCCTACCTTTCAGTGGATGCTCTGGAGAGCCCTGGGCCTTCTCCACCTCCTCCATCCTCTCTTCCCGAGCTCTGTCCTTGCTGTCTGAGTTCTGATGCTTGTCTTCACCCTCTGCTCTGTCCAGGGCAATTGGCAGGGCCTAGAAGGACAGGCTAGGGGCTGCAGGACCTGGGTCTCAGCAAAGACGCATTGCAGGGACTGTGCCCTGGGCTCAGAGCCCTCAATTTCAGATGCCCTGCCTGGTTCCTCCAGGCCCAGCTACTAGAACTGGGAACCAGGAAGGCCTGGGTTCTACCCAGCTGGGCCAGACCACCAGACCACGCTCCACCCACATTTCCACAGGCCCGGCCACCAGCGACTTCCATACCTGGATTTCCTGGGGCTTCTTTGGCTTCGGGACACCTGACTCCTTTTCATCCATGTAGCCCAGGTGAGCTTCCATTTTATCTGCAATGTTAAAGGAGAGAGGTGAGATGGGCAGGCTCGAACAGGGCAAAGAGTCAGGGCAGGGCAGGGCATGCCAGATGACAGAGGGGCCTGGCCTTGTGGTGCTCTGCAGAGGGCGACAAGTTCATAAGTGTGAGTGGGGCTCCAGGCCAGGCCTCCAACTCAGACCCTTTGGGACCCTGGGCCTGGTGGGACCACAGTGGGCACTGTCAGGATGCAGTGGGCACTGCCCTCCGGAAGCAGGGGGTGGAGGGTGCGACCCAGGGCTGGGTGTCTCGTAGGGGTGGATGGAAATATTCGGTGAGTTCAGCAGGAGCCACTAGCTGGTAGCTTTAGTGAAGCAGGTGAAACGGCAAGGCTGTTGCTAAAATGAAAAGCCTCGGCAAGGTGCTGTGGGGTGGGGGGACCCTCACATTGGGGTTACACTGAGGACTTGGCACACCTCCCATGACCCAAGATCTCTCCCAGGCTCTCCCTAAGCCCAGACCTGTCAGGCCCAGGGGGGCTGGTGGGAGCTGTGCAGGGCTGGCAGGCACGGGTGTGTTGGGATCCGAGGAGATCACCTCACAAGGCTTCTTGCCCTCGGGCCCCTCAGGGACCAGGTCTGGGGTGCTATACTTCCCGTTGACGTGCTCAAACTCCTGAACCTGGGGCAGGAGGGGGAAAGCAGAGAGGACAGTGGTGACTACTCGGAGACAGAAAGCTGCAGGCTTGGGTGCCGCTCTGCCCAAGGCCAGCTAGCACAGATACACTTCTGACCCAACTTCTGCCCCTCGCCCTACAACTCACCCTTCCGGCCGCACCCTCCCTACCCGCACCCTGAATGCTCCTCTAGTCTGTCCCTTTGGTTTGTCTCAGACCTGGGTAGCTGTGTGACCTGAACCACACATCTGCCCTTTGGCAGCTAACCCCCCCCCCATCAGAGGCAGCTCGAGGGCCACATGCCAGCCAGAAGGCTAGTAGAGGCTTACTCACCCACCTTCTTCCTAACCAGCGACATGACCCCGATACGCGTGAGCACATGCTGCCTGGAAAGGCCCTCCCGGGGCACACCATCTGCGAAGGTCTCTGCGCCGTCTGCCCCCGGCTCACACAGGTGCCGCATGAAGAGGGACACATAGGCTCTGGGGTGGGGAGCACTGGGGTTCAGGGAGTGAAGGAAGGCTGGCAGGACCCCCAGGGACCTCTTGGATGGATGGAGCCAGGCCCCTGGAAAGGCAGAGGGGCCTCCCTGACAGGGAACCTGCTTCAGATGCTCCTGGCCCTGGATGGCCCAAGCGCACTATCCCAGAGTGTGAGCAGGAGTAGGTGCTGGCCAGGGTTTTCTATCAGTCAGCCCTGCCCAACACACCACACCCAAAGATCTGATAGCCGTGAACTCTCTGGGCACCTCTGACCGGGAGGGAGCAAGCACTGTCCACTAGAGGGCCCATTGCACAGGGATGGGAGGCCACACCCTCCTGGACCACCACCGCACTTGGACCCTTTACCGAAAGTCCTTCTCAGTCTTCCCACGAAGGTCCCGCACCAGCCAGTGGGAGTTGAAGGCGTCCTGGGGGGGCATGCCCCAGCGCATGATGGCATTCAGAAAAGCCTTCCTCTGCCTGGCATTGAAGCCCAGCACCTAGCCAGGGCGGAGAAGGGGTGTGGTCTCAGGTTAGATGGAGGAGGAAAGCAATGGACACCTGGACACAGAGGGTCCCTCTCAGCTCCACCTCGACATGACCCGTGAGCCCAGGAAAACCCCCAGTTCCTCCTTTGCCCAGGGGTGTAAGGAGTAAGGCTGGGAGGGATTAGGAAGCAGGCAAATCCCACCTCAATATTGCCCCCAACTCGAGCCAGAAGAGGCGGCAGGGGCTTGTCCCTGTCACTCTTCAGCTGCCTCCTAGACTGTCGTCGTCCACCTGGAGAACAGCCCACCACAGACCTTCAGGCTGGTGTGCAGGGGTTCCTCCAGCATACTCAAGGCGGCAAGACCCTCGGGACGACCTCCCGCAGCTCCCATGGGGCACATCAGCCCAGCCCCAGCTGGCCATCGGTCCCTACGCACTGTAACAGCCCAGGTCACCCACACTAATACTCACTCTGCCCTTCCGGTCTCTCCTCAAAGTCCTCGTCCTCATCCTCAGAGCCGATGGAATACTCAGACTGGTTGTCCGAGAGCTCATCCTGCCACTCTGCAGGAAGTCGGCAGAGGGGCCTTGTGCACCCAGGGCCAAGCCAAGCCCCTCCCCAGCCTAGTCACAGCTGTGACAATGACAATGGCCTACAGGTGGCCGCACTCAGAACTGCGTTGCTACTCTGCCGGTTTTACAGTTGGAAGACTTGTGGAGGCTCGCCCACGCTCCAACCCTTGCCCGAAGCCACCGGACTGATAGATCTTGTCCCCATCCCATGCCAGCCTGCAACTCCCTTTCTCCCAGCAGCCCTGCTGCCCACCCCCACTCTCCCCAAGTGCAGTGTCTGCCACATGCCCGCCCGCTACTACCCACGCCGGGAGGCCCCTGCTCACCACACGCACCCTGGTCCTCCTGTGAGGCGTCGTTGTAGTTGACTTGCTTGCGGATGCGCTTGCCCTTGCCCAGGTTGCGGGCCAAGTCCTCCTGCTGCTGCTCGTAGTGGTGACGCAGGAGCTTCTCCCAGTAGTCGGGGTCCACATTCTCCTCCTGCTTAATCACCTCCCGCTCCACCTCCTCCTGGGGATGTAGATGTGGGCAGAGCTGGGCACGCCCAGTTGCTTCTGCCCCATCTCACCCACCTTCACGGGGCCAGTGAAGGACTTGCCTCCTCCTGGAAGCCCTCCCTGATTGCTCCAGCCCTTGCCAGCAGCTCCTGCCACTGTTACTCACCACACTTACACGCTGGCCTCAGTCAGAAATGCTGCTACCCCAGACACTACCTCGGGGTTCATGGCTTTATATTTGCTTTTGTTGTTCTTGGGTTGTGTGTTTGGTATTTGGTTTGGGTTCTTGGCTTTTTGAGACACCATTTCTCCATGAAGCCCAAAATGTCCCAGAATTCACTCTGTAGACCATGCTGGCCTCAAACTCAGAGACCAACCTGTCTCTGCCTCCCGAGTGCTGGGTTTAATGGTAGGCACCGCCACTGCGCAGCTGGGTCCGTGGTTTTAGAGGGAACTATAACCAATGCCCAGGTTTGCAAGGAGGATGGTTGGGGGCCAATGGGAGACTTGAGGGGCTGTGGCAGCAATTGGGCTTTTTAAGACACAAGAGGAAGATGAGGTAGAATGTTCTAGAACAGAACAAGACAGAGGTGTGGGGCTGGAGGGAGGGGGGAAGCTAAGGGCGGGACTGCCAGGGGCAGTGTGGCTCTCATTGGCCTTACCACGCCATCTTCCTCACGGACCACGTACTGTGCCACCTTGAAGGAGCTCAGGTACTCATTCATGTTCTGTAGCTCCGTGTCATCTGTGGCATCCTGGTTCCGATCCAGCAGCTTGGATATGGCCGCGTCGTCATAGTGGATCACGCTGCTGTCTTCCACGTCTTTGTTGTCACCTGAGGGTTGAGTGGGGGACAGTGTATGGTGGACACTGATATAGGTTCCCAGGTCCAACCTCAGGGTCAACTGCCAAGCTGGCCCTTCTGCTGGGCAAGGAAGTCAGTGACCAGGCAAGAAAGATACACTGTAACCAGGGCAGGTGTGACAGCTAGTAGGGTAAGGAAGCTACACTGTAACCAGGGCAGGTGTGACAGCTCCTCCCCACCCACCCGTGGCCTATATCGGAAAAACCGAGGCGCCAAGGGAGCAGAGGACTTCCTCCTGTCCACAAGCAGCCACCTGCCTGGCTGCACAAAAGGCTATGGGTGACGCAGGTGGGCCCTACCTGGTGGGGTGCTGCCATGCTTTTTCTTTGCACCGGCAGCCAGAGATCCGCCTTTGGAGGACTGTACATCAGGGATGGGTGTGGCAGGCCTCTGGCCCTGGGACATCATGCCTGAGAGACAGAAGAGGGACACTGGGCCAAGGCACTGAGGAACCACAGGTGAGCAGAAGCAGAGACACAACCCTAACCCACTGTGGGGGGTGTTGCAGGCCAGGAGAGGAGAAGAGGATCTGGGGTCCTGGGTGGGCATGCCTCAACAGGGGCTACCTCAAGCCCCCATCATACTCCCACAGAAGGGAGGCTCACCCTCCACATCATCCTTGAAGAGCTCCTCCGTGCCAAACTTAAGGATGTCATCCAGCTCCTGCTTGGTCATTGAGCCTGACTTGGAGCCCAGGCCAGGCCGCACCACCAGGTGTGTGAGCATCATCTTGCGCTTGGCCACCTGAGTGATGCGTTCCTCCACCGAGGCCCGAGTCACAAAGCGGTATATCATCACCTTCTTGTTCTGCCCGATGCGGTGAGCACGGCTAAAGGCCTGGGGGAGACCACAGCTCAGCACCCAGGGCTTGAGTCAAGGCTCCAGGCCACAGCTGGGTGTGTGCACCAGGTAGGACCCGTATGGAAAGCCCATGGTCATGCAAGGGGCAGCCTGACCACACAGGGAGGCGCGGTGTGTGAAGGGCAGCGCATGTGTGCACAGGTCATCACCCAGCAGCACTGTGGCCTGTGGCCAGTCTGGTTCAAAGTGAGCATGTGGCTGGCATGGGGGCCTCAGTGTGACTCCAGGCATGCAAGGGCATGTCCAGGAAGTGACTCTTCCCGGGACTCCGTTGCCAGACCATGGGATGGTTGGGTGATAATGGGACAGTAAAGCCACAGGCTGGAAACACAGCAACCTTTGAGGGCAGCAAGGTCTGGGAACCGCCCTGGAGGAAGTGCCTGGGACTCCATTGTGTCTCCATGTGATCTGGCCCTGGTGTGGTAGTGCATATGACACATGAGTGTGTGTGTGTGCACCCCAAACTACCAAAGTGTATCACGCCTGCTCCAGAGTGAGGTGACTGGAGAACACTGGGGGGGGGGTTCTGTTCCTACACCACCTTCTCTCTCCATCCTTCCCCATCTGACCCCTCCATTTCCTCCTCTCCCCTATGTCCAGCAGGCACCACTATGGATCCCGTTACTCCCTCATCCGCCTCCTTCCCTGACCAGGGCGCTGAAGGCAACGGCACGGATCAGGGCTATCATTCAAGTTGTTGTATGTCTTGGAAACCTCCCTTGCCCTCTCTGAGCTTATGTTGCCCCTGTCTCCCCTCACCTCCCAGGGCCCCCCTTTTACGGTGGGGTTCCACACCAAGAAGGCACAGGACCAGGGACGTGAAGGGATGGGGAGAGGAGAAAGGTCAGAGGTGCTGGAGGTACAACAAGATGTCAGGCGCAGACCTGGATGTCGTTGTGTGGGTTCCAGTCCGAGTCGTAGATGATGACTGTGTCCGCTGTGGCCAGATTGATGCCCAGGCCACCAGCGCGCGTCGAGAGCAAGAAACAGAACTGCTGAGCCCCAGGAGCTGAGGAGGAGACACAGGTGAGTCAGGGAGCACACCTGGGCAGGGCTGGGGTCAGGGAGCACACCCTGGGCAGGGCTGGGGTCAGGGAGCACACCTGGGCAGGGCTGGGGTCAGGGAGCACACCTGGGCAGGGCTGGGGTCAGGGAGCACACCTGGGCAGGGCTGGGGTCAGGGAGCACACCTGGGCAGGGCTGGGGTCAGGGAGCACACCTGGGCAGGGCTGGGGTCAGGGAGCACACCTGGGCAGGGCTCAGGTAGTCAGTACATAGAAGGGTAAGAACCAGAGCAAAGGCCCCTGGCAGAGGAAAGGGAAGAGGCTGTGACCCTAGAGGTGCAGCACACCATCTGCTGGGCTCCTGCAACCCCACTGATGCTGGACCCTGGCCAAGCTGGCTGGAGCCAGAATGAGAAGGAAGCCAGCTCTCAAGGCCCAGAAGGGCGTCAGCTGAGGAGGGCCAGCTAGTTTGGGGCCGTGGCATTTCCTTCCCACTCTGCCTTCTCGTCCATCTCCAATACTGCTTAGAGAGCTTGTCGTCTGCTAAGACTCCTTAGGACCCAACAGATGGTAAAAAAAAAAAAAAAAAAAAAAAAGGGTCTGGCATGGTGGCACACACGTGACCCCAGCTGTGGGAGACCGAGGCAGGAGGATGGTGAGCTGGAGGTCAGCCTGAGCTAAATGGTAAGGCCTTAAGAAATTAAAACATCAAGGGGACAACAGTTGTGGCCTAATAAGGAATGATGTGTTTCTTCCGTTTGCAACGCAGCTTGGGGAGCACTGTTAATTGAATGGTCAGGCTAAGACCCCCGGACACATGGAGCCCCTTGAGAGGGATGGGTACCGTTGAATCTGTCGATGGCCTCTTGCCGGAGGCCCCCGGTGATGCCCCCATCGATCCGCTCATACTTGTAGCCCTCGTACTCCAGGAAGTCCTCCAAGAGGTCCAGCATCTTGGTCATCTTCAAAAAACATGGATTCATGAGTAGCTGCTACCAAGCCAAGACCCCACCCTGGGTAAGAGGAGAATTCTGGAGTAGGAGGACAGGATGTGCCCAGAGCAGGCCTCCTGAAGAGAACCATCCCCCAATCCCGTATCTCACCCACCATCTATTCCCCAGAGCAGCCTCCACACACATCCTCAGGCATGAGCCTCTGGTTCGCTCCCACCAACCCAGGAGAGAGCCGCACCTCTGCTGGCATTTCCCCCACTATTCCTAACCACATGACCCCTGATGCACACGCCCCTTCCTGCCTAGAGAGCGCCAATGCCACCGCCTCTGGATCACACTCCCACATGACAGTCCCTCCAAGCTCCCAGAGTCCTGTCTGGTCCCCTCCCGCCTTTAGATAGTTGACCAATAAGAAACTGCCAGCAGACATGCTCCCTCAAAGCATGGAGATCTGGCTACTGCCACCACCACCTGCTGTTACTGGTAAGTCTGAGAGTTTGATCATCCCTCCTCCAAAGTTCTCAGCCTGAGTTGTTGGCCCTAGCTGGCATCCAGGCACTGGCCTGTTGGTTCAAACCCTGCTTAGCCTTCCGTGGCGCACTTCAGATCTGAGGCTGCTGTCTTTCTCCGAGTCTACGCATAGGACTTTCACCGTTTCCTGGTGTTTCCTCTGCAGTTCCTGGCAGTGCCTCCTCTGATGCATGCTGGGAAACTCCTCAGCCTTGGGTTCCAGCTCACCAGTGTGTTTTTCAATGGTGAGAGTTTATTTGCCCGGTCCGGTCCGACAAAACACTTTCTTTCAATGTCTAAACTCCTCTGCATTTTTTAAAGGTTTTTTTTTTTTTAATTTGTGTATGTGTGTCACATGGCAGTGTGTGCACATGCCAACAGGTGCCTTCAGAAACCAGAAGAGGACATCTGATACCCTGGAATGGTCTAATGGGAAGTGGCAAGATGCATGTTGTGGGTGATGATAACCAACCCTGGTCCTCGGAAGAGCAGCGCGTGCCCTTGGCTACTGAGGCGTCTCTCCAGCCTCTCTGTGCTCTGATCTGTTGTTTCTTGCCCTGTCTCTTCCTGCTTATGTCTAATTTCTTCCCTGATGGATGAGTCAACTCACTCCATAACTTCTGAAAATCCAAAAATGGCTTACAGTGTTTTCCAGGGTATGTATTACCTCTTCGTTTGAGTTCTGGTTATTGTCTTATGGGATGGATGTAGATGGGTTCCTGAAGACTTTGGGGGTCTGGGTTTGTCAGGTCACATGGATGGGAGGGCCACATCCCTGTCATTTCTCTCCTGGCACATTTCTATCACAACAGTTTTCACGACTTGGGCTCCTACGGCTTTCACCCTGACTCACATTTTGTAGCAGAAAAGGTGTCTGCAGAGAAAATGAATGTTGAGCGCCAGCGACCACCTAATCCAACTGTAGTCACAGACCTGGCCTGCCTCCCTGGACTCTGTGCCCACTTCCCACCCTGGCCTGCCACCAGAGGCAGCAGGCACCAGCAACCCTGTCCACTCAACTTTTTGCACAGGTGAGTTGAACCCCACGCTCACGTTGAGAAATAGCCTCGCTCAGTCCCACCCCAGGCAAGTGTATTTTAGCCCTTCATCACTGTACCCTCCAACCCAGACCTGACCAGTATCTATCTCGTGAGCTGTCTTTTCCCCTCCAGACTGGGCAGTTTGAGAGAAGAACCTATATGTGCCCAGAACCCAGACTGAAACATGATGAGCAGAGGAAGAGGAGAGGAAAACACTTCTGCATGCACAGGAAGCAATGTCACCAGTGGACGCTGAGGAGCAAGCTTCAGAGGGGCTCCTGGGAGTGCCCCCATCGTGGGGTCCTCCCAGGCCAACTTCAGCCACAGGGGTGAAAAGAAACTGGACAGAAGGGGGATGCTATCATACCAGCCTGGACACCTGCGCCAGAGGCACAGGTACAGGGAGTTGAAATGGGGGGTATGCTGGTCTCTATAGCAACCAGACCCTGTCTCCATGAGCTTGGTTTCCAGATGGTGCCATGCACGGGCTCAGAGGCCTTCAGCCCACAGGAAGGCTGACTCCCCTGTGGATGTGTGCTGGCTCCAGGGTAGCCCACCTGGGAGAAGATCAGCACTCGATGTCCTTCATCCCGCAGCTTCTTGAGCATCTTCTGCAGCAACATGAGTTTCCCCGAAGACTTGACCAGGGAGCTGCCATCGTAGGAGCCATTGGGTAGTACAGGAGCCTCCTGGGGACAACAACGGAGCAGAGCCTTGGTGAACTCTACCTCTCGCTTTGGCACCAGAGAGACTGTAGTGGTTGGCAAGTGCCTGCCCATCTGCACAGCTGAGCACAGGGTACAAACCTAAGCAGGCTCAATTGTGTGGGTCACACAGAGCCTGGCTCCAGACACATGCTTAAAAGCATGGCACGGCAGGCCAGCCTCACTCTCTGCCTAGTACTGAAATGGAGCTCGGGGGCCCTTCCCACAGAAACCTGGCTTCGACACTATGGGCCCTGGAAGGCGCATCCAACAGCTCTGCCCACTTCTGAGCACAGATGGGCAGGTCCATCTAAAGGTAGATCCCAGGAGACTCCTGAGTCACACGGAGCCACAGGAGAAGCCTCCAGTGCAGCAAGGGGGCAGAGACCAGCGATGCCCACCGAGGGCCCGGCCCCCAGCTCTGTGAACTTTCTGCTCTGAATCTCTCCAGAGCCTTCTGGGAAGTCACAACTGCTTCGTCTGACAAAGGACAGTCCTGAGACTCCAGAGCATCAGCTTCCCAAGATCAAAGCACCGGGCTGGACGAATTCCAGAGGCCAGTGCCTGCCTCACTACTGCAGCTCAGACTCACCCAGGATAAACTCCCTTGGGGACAACATGAAGCTGGGTCACCCCCCCCCAGAGCTCCCTGGAGGCCCAGTACTGAGACTGGGGATATTTGGGGGCTACCAGCAAAGGTTAGGAAGAAATGACCTGGAGCCAATCAGTGGGCATTGGCGGCTTCCAAAACTGTCCCCCAGCACCAAAGGGACAGGATGGAGTCACAAGTCACCTCTGGCATTCATTCTCAGGAAGGAACAGCACCTAGGCCAAAGCACCTAGCCATGGACACCTTCCACAGAGGCCACAAGAAACCCATCACAGCAGCCAGGGACCTATGCAGTGGCCACAAGGAATATACCACACCACACTGTCTGCAGGGAACACTTCATAAATACCATGAGGAGCCTACCATGGTAGCTACAGCCATGGCAGTCACTGGGGTCTGTATGATGGTCAGAGAACCCACTATAGCAGCCACAGGGACCAACTATAACCAGGGGGAACTTTAACCACAGCAGCCATTTGAGATCCGCCATGATGACCAGAGGTAACCTATCCCAGAGGTCACAGGGAACACAACAGCCAGTAGAGACCTGCCCTATGGCCCCAGGGAACCTACTACATCAGAGAACCCTTCTTAGCGGCCATGGGGAACCCACCACGGCGACCCCTGGGACCTGCCCTGATGGCCACGAGGAATCCACCACAGCAGCCACAGGGACCTGCCCTGATGGCCACGGGGAACTCACTACGGTGAGCACTGGGACCTGCTCTGGCCACGGGGAACCCACCACGGCGACCCCTGGGACCTGCCCTGATGGCCACGGGGAACCCACCACGGCGGCCACAGGGAAGAGGTACGGGTGGTTGCAGCATTTCTTCAGGTCCATCATGATGTTGAGCAGAGACACCTGGTTGCCGCCCCCCTTGGAGTTGAGTGCCTCGAAGTTCCGTGTGAGGATGAACTTGTAGTACTTCCTGCAACAGGGTATGGGACGAGGTTGGCAGGAGGCCCCAGACCCCACCAGACTCCTAAAGGGGTAGGCTCTATCTTCAGGAAGGCTGGTGGCGTCCCCAGGCACCACGTACAGAGCCGCACAGGAAGCCTTCCTACAGGGCGTAGGTTACCGGGCAAGCTAATGGGAGACATTGCTAGAAGTGGGTAGGAGATGCAGGGAGAAAGGCCTGCACAGGCAAGTAGCCCTCCTGCCAACCCCAAGAAATGGCCTGTGGGAAGGGGCCCTGAGGACACTAGACCAGGAGAGGAGACGGGCCGGCTGCTGCAGACCAGAGCCGAGCCTCCATCGCTCACTTCTGCATCTGGCTCAGCTCCACGCGGACGATCAGCTCTGTCTTGGCCGGCATGTTCTTGAACACGTCGGCCTTGAGCCTCCGGAGCATGTGCGGCCCCAGCAAGTCATGCAGTTTTTTGATCTGATCTTCTTTGGAGATGTCAGCAAACTCCTCCAGGAAGCCTTCCAGATTGCTGCAACAGAGAGCTGGGATAAGAGCCAGAAGCAGAGAGCCAGAGTAAACCACGGCCCTCTGTGGAAGAATCAGGACCAGGGAGGGAGGACGAGGCCAGCAGAGGCCAAAGGCTGGTGGTCCAGAGAGCCTGGGCACTGATGAAAAGCCCCCCGGGCTCTGGTCTAGCCTGCATCATGCCACAGGTCACAGCCCTCTGCCACACAGAATCCCTCCCCATCCATCCTCACGCTATCCTGCACATGAGTTCCCAGGGATGACCCAGGCTACAGAAAAGGAGACCAAGACTGCTGAGCACTCACGGTCTTGTGGCTCAGTGCCACACCTGCCCTTGAATCAACATCCAAAGCAGGCCCCTCCTCCCTGAGCCACTTCGCAGTTCTGAGCATGTGAACTGGGGTTAAACACAAGCAAGGAGGCCAACAAAGCAGGATGCCATCTTTGCCCCCACCTCCTCCCCAGCCCAGCTCTGGCCTCTGCTTGCCATCACTGTGCCCATGAGGGTCATTTAAGTCACAGAGGGTGAAATGAGCCCGGGGCAGTCACGGAGGCACAGGGGTAGGAACCCAGGAGGAGCCCCAAGGCCTTCTGGGACAGTGCTGAAGAAAACCATGGTTTGCTGGGACACTGTAGTTCCCTGGGGAAGGCAGGTGCTGAGACCTCACAGGATCCTCACAGGATACTGCCCATGCTCCCATCTCACTAATAGGAAACCCAAGTCCCCAAACAGCTCTCAGAGCCAGCGAAGGCGGTGGCCACGCCTTCACAGGACTGCAACCCATCACTCCTGCCAGGCCCAGAGAGAGAGAGAGACGCACTTGAACCTCTCTGGAGTCAGGAAGTTGAGGAGATGGAATAGCTCTTCCAGGTTGTTCTGGAGGGGGGTTCCTGTCAGCAGCAGCTTGTAGTCGATCTTGTAGCTATTCAAGACCCTAAAGAACTTTGAGGAGAGGAGAGACGCTGTCAGGAGACACAGAGCAGCAGCCGCACGCACGGGGAGGGATTATTTCCACAGTCAGCGCCTCCTACCTTGGACTGGTTGTTCTTGAGCCGGTGGGCCTCGTCCACCACGAGGCAGGCCCACTCAATGGAGCCCAGGATGGCTTGGTCAATGGTGATGAGCTCATAGGAGGTGAGCAGCACATGGAATTTGACCTGCACTTCCTTCTGTGGGAAAAGAGAAGAGTGTGAGCAAGGCAGCAGGGCCAAAGGGACAGGGACAGCATGGAGAAGGGTGGCTGGGAACCCCACAAGCATTCTGGGGAGTCCTGGGGGGACAATTCAGGGGCAAAGCGCAGCCCCCAGAGGAGGTGTTGTTACAGAAGGTGACTGCATGTTCCACATCCATGCTTTCAACCCATCTTGGGTGGGAAATGTTTTAGGGTAAAATTGCCACCAGAGCTGGGGAGATGGCTCAGTGGGTGAGTGTGGAAAACTGAGGTGTGGACCTCTGGAACCCACATAAAACCAGACACGGGAGCACAGGCCTGCAATTCCACCCAGACGGGAAGCAAGGTAGGAGTCCGAAGGCAGGCCAGCTAGCCCGGTACACGGTGTATGTGGTGTGTGCGTGGGTGTGTGCGCCACGGTGTACATGCGGACCAGAGGACCACTTTGGGAGCCAGTTCCCTGCTTGCTGAAATAGCCTCTCTTCTTCCTGCCAGGCTGCAGACACCCGGCTAGGTAGCTTGCAACGTTTTTTATGATCTCTTGACTTACGCTTTGAGCATTTCCCACAATACACTTTAACCATATTCTCTCCCATCCCCCAACTCCTCCCATACCCTCTTCCAACACACTGCCCACTCACTGTCATGGTCTTTCACTCTCAAACAAACGAGCAAACAAGCATGGAGTCTGTTTTGTTGACCGGCTACTCCTGAGCATGAACTCTGACCTGTATTTCATACGCCCAGTGTCACCGCATTGACGGAAACTGACTGTCCCTCCTCCGGCAGCCATTAACTGCGGTCAGCTTCCTAGCTACAGGTGAGGCTTTGAGCCGGCTTCTCCTCTGTGCTCATTTTGTGTGGCTTGAGCTTGTGTAGGTCTCGTGGGCGCAGTCACAGTCTCTGTGAGCCCATGTACATTCCTGCCCCGTTGTATCTAGAAAATGCTGCTTGCCTGAAGAAGCCACACCTCTGGCTCCTAGAATGCCATCTTCCACAGAGACCCTGAGCCTTGAAGGCAAGCCTGGGCAGCTACTCTGTCTTTGCCTCACACTTTGTCCTAAGAGTGCTGGGATCACAGACACACATCCCCCCATCTGGCTTTTTTTATAGGAGTTCCAAGCATGAAACACACACTCGGGCCTGCAAAGCAACCCCTTTTACCCACTCAGGCACCTCACCGAGTCCCCTTTGGACATTTTACAAGTGCAGACTGTCACCCCCCTGCTCCCAAGGGTTTGACAAGACCTCCTGGGGACTAAAGCACAGTGAGGACAAGAAGCCACACCCACTATTCACAGACTCCTGCCCCCCCCCCCACCGCCACCGCAGACTCCTGCCGCCACCGCCACCAAGCTCTGCAGGCTGGAGCTGTTGGCTCCATTCTATCCAGCAGGCTCTGAGGCACAGAAGCAGCACCAAGTCCGACACACAGCCGGGTGCAGGGATAAATACTGCCTTTCCATTCACATCCAGCTGACCGTCTTTATTCCTCCTTAGAAACAAGGCTTGGCATGTAGAGTGAGTTGGCTAAGATATGAGTGGCTCTCAACCCAACGTGAGCGGTGTCTTTACTACGACAGGAACCACACCCAAGAGAAGGATGCCAGGCAACAAAGGCAGAGGCAGGGGCAAAGAAATGTAGCCGTAAGCCAGGCAATCCTCAGACCCCACAAGGTGGAAAAGATGGAAAAGACAGATGCCTCCTGGGGCCTTAGAGGGAGCCGCGCTGACCACTGGCTTCCAGGCAGTCAGAAGCGGCTCTCTGTGGAGCTAAGCCGCAGTTGATGATGCTCCGATAGAACAACTTTGATATTGGCCCCCTGGGTCTGGGCACGGGAACCCCATGGCAGATGTGCCCCCCCCCCCGGGGACTGGGGGTGAAGACAGCTCACCTTCATGCGGAATACTTTCTTCCCACCCCGAATGGCGTTGTCCTCAAAGGAAAACTCGTTCTCCCGGATCACAGAGCGGCTCTCCTTGTCCCCCGTGTAGGTGACCACGTAAAAGTCAGGCGCCCACATCTCAAACTCGCGTTCCCAGTTGATGATGGTGGACAGGGGCGCGCTAACCAGGTAAGGCCCCTTGGAGTGGCCCTGCAGAGAGAGCCTGCGGCGGTGAAGCTGGCTGCCGACAGATGGCACCAGACCCCGCCTGCCCCGCACCCCTGGCCCTCCTGCCTGCCCACCTCCTTGTACAGGGAATAGAGAAACACAATGGTCTGCACCGTCTTGCCCAAACCCATCTCGTCAGCCAGGATAGTGTCAGTCCCCTGGGCCCAGGAGAAACGTAACCAGTTGAGTCCCTCTAGCTGGTAAGGGTGCAGCGTCCCTCCGGTGGAGTCGATGTACCACGGCTGCTTGTCGAACTTGACTGTGGGCTGTGGGCGGGGGAGGCAAGCATCAGACACACCCTGAGTCTTGCACCACCAGAGTCAGGCACAATTCCTTCCGTTTAAAATGCTCTTGCTGCGCCCTATGCTTGCCTCGCTCTCTCTGCTTAGGGTCTGGCCTAGAATGTCTCTCCTTCCAAGAAACACCCCCTGGCTCCCCACCCTAACACCTGCCCAAAGCATGATGGCTTTTAGCCAGCAGGTCATTCTGTACCCTCTTTTGTCCTGTATCTCCAGGTCACTTTCCCGGTAAGGTCCCCACCATGGGCCCTGGCCTTTTTGGTTTTAGGTTATTGTTGTTGCTGTTGGCTTATTTGTTTCTTTGCTTTCCAGATGAGTTTCCCGTAGCACAAGCTGGCTGAGGACGACCCTGAACTCCTGATTCTTCTACCTCCAACTCCTGAGTGCTGGGGTCATAGGTATGAACCACCACGCTCAGTTTAAGCCACACTAACGACTGAGCCCAAGGGCCCGTACATGCTAGGCAAGCAATCTATAAGCTGAGCTCTACCCCCAGCCCAAGGTGGGCCCCTTAAAGCATGCCCAAGGGGTCCAGCATGGTGGTGCATGTCTTTAATCCCAGGACTCAAGAGGCAGAATCAGGTGAATCTCTGAGTTCCACCCCAGTAGGCTCTTCCCACTGGCCCACACAGCCTCGGGGGTCACTGAAAATAGCAGGCCATGCAGGCCTGGGGGAGGGCCCCTGAGAAGAGACCTCTCTGTACTGCCAAGCCTACGGTGGTGAATCTGGCAATCCAACGCTACTGCCTCCTCCCTCTCTCTGCTCACATCCACGACGGGCGTGTCCGGTGGCTTCTCTTGTTTGTCATCCTTCAGCTTCTTGCCCTTCTTGACCAGCCTCTTGGGAAGCCTGGCATCCTCTCCCAGCATCAACTCCCTGGGAAGAGGCATCAGGCTGAGATGAGCAAAACTGAAGCCAGCAGGGAACCCCAGGGCCCCACACCTGGCTGCCAGCACTCAGCACACCTGTGGCCCCAGTAGGCCTGCTTCAGATTGTCGTAGTAGGGGATGTCGATGTCGTCAATCTCCCAGGTGCACTGGTCATAGGGTAAGTCCTTCCACTTGATCAGGTAATGCACGTCCCCCTTCTTGTCAAAGCTGAAACACGGGAGGCAGGAGTTAGGGGAGGCACAGGCTCAGGTTCCAGGCAGGGCCCCACTAAAGTGCCAATCCACTCATATCCATGCTGTCCTAGTATTCTGGACCCAACCAGGAGGAGGGCACCCGGGCGAGAGCCCTAGAGAGGGGTAGTAGCTCGCCCAACGCCACACCGCCCGCACAAAGAGATGAAGGTTGGAGAAAGAGGCAGACACACGTAGACAGGGACGATGGGAAAGCTATGCTAACAGAGCGCTAAGAAGTCGCAACCTTTCCAACCTCTGCTGCAGGGGTGAGTCCACCCTCTATATAATCTGGACACAGGAAATGGTGTCATACACAATCAGGAAATGGCGCCATGGATCTCCCCCTGCCCAGAGGCTTCATTTTCTAACATAAAATGTCAAAGCGTTTTGCCTATCAGTCCAGGGTGTGGATCCTTTCCTACAAACCCCTGCAGGTGGGGCATCCCCCTCTAAAGGTCCCCAGGGACATCCGACCCAGTGACCACACCCCACAGTGGCTACTGAAAGAACCCTCAAGGTCTCCTGCTCCATCTGAGTAGATGCTGCAGCCAGGCCAGAAGAGCCCGGCAAAGCCAGGGAACTATGGGCACCCCCTAAATGGCAAGGGTGACAGCAAATGGACTGGGGGGGCTGTGGCTGCAGGTGGCCTAAGGACCATGAACAGCAAGGCCAATTCCCAGTCACCATGGAAACCAGTGGCTTATTTTCAACAAATAATTGGTTGTTATGCACACTCGGGGAGATTCATCAGCTCCGCTTTGGGGGTGCAGAGGAAATTGTCCTCTTTGCTTTAGCGTACATTTTAATGAAAGAAAGGAGGGGCAGTCATTCCAAGGCACACTCAGATACCATCTGGAGTATGGGGATGGGCGGGGTACTTCACAGCTAGTAAGATGTCCTCGTTCCCTCCAAACCACTCCAGCAAGACCTTAGCAACCCCTCAGCCTCCTAGCACGCAGGTCACATGAAGACCAGCTCAGAAGTCCACAGCCACGGAGGTTCTTAACCTCCTCTGCCCTCACAATAACGGCCAACAGGACCTGTGGTCAGGGACAGAGTGGGAAGGCCACCCATCCCAAGCCAGAAGACAGAGAGCTGTGAACAGGCAGGGAGTTCAGAATTCTACGCTGCCACCATGTGACAGGTACTCAGGGCTCTTTGCAAAGCCGGCTGGCAGCCACCACCTATCCTCCAGCCCCTGAGCTCAGGAGTCAGCAGGGGCACATGCCACCCACTGTCTCCCTAGCCCTCCTGCTGGGCCTCCTTGCTCTGGCTTCTCTGGCCACTAAGCACCTGGGAATGCCAGACTTTAATAAGAGATGGCACAGGGGAGAAGGACTCTGGGTAAAAAAATGCCAGTAACTACCCAAAGGCACTGACTGGGTCCAATTCCCAACCCTGCAGCCTCAGCTATCTCGACCTTACTGAAAACATTCCTGTCTTAGATTTATTGCTTTGAGCTGGACCTGTTGATGCACGCCTTTAATGCCAGCGCTCAATGGGCAAGAGAGATGGCTCAGATGTTGAGAGCACTGGCTGCTCTTCCAGAGGACCTCAGTTCAGTTCCCAGCAACTACAAGATGGCTCACAAGCATCTATAATGAGATCTGGTGCCCTCTTTTGGCCTGCAGGCACACATGCAGGCAGAACACTGAATACATAATAAATAAATAAATAAGTCTTTAAAAAAAAAAAATTCCAGTGCTCAAGAAGCACAGGCAGGCAGGTCTCTGAGTTTAAGGCCATCCTGGTCCACACTCTAAGTTCCAGGCCAGTCAATGCTGCATAGCAAGTCCTTGTCTCAAAAATAAATAGATAAATAAAATAAAGCCCTTGTCTAAAATAAAATTTTTTAAATGTTCATTTTTATGAATACATGTGAATGTGTGGATGCCTGCATGCATTTGTACCACATGTATGCCTGGTGCCCACAGGTCAGAAGGTGGCGTCTGATCACCTAGACCTGGAATTCTAAGAGGTGGTGAGCTGCTGTGTGGATGCTGAGAAGCAAACCCAGGTCCTCCGCAAGAACAACCCAGGCCCTCAACCACTCAGTCATGTCTCCAGAAAGAGAGGGAGAGAGGGAGAGAGAGAGAGAATGCATGTTTGGAGACAGGACCTCTCTGTGTCTTCCTGGCTGTCCTGGAACTGGATATGTAGACCAGGCTGGCCTTGAACTCAGAGATCTGCCTGCCTCTGTGTCCCGAGTGCTGGGATTAAAGGCATGCACCACCATGCCAGCCCCATGCCAACTATATTCTCAAATGTGCCTCTTGGGAGAGTAACACTGACTAATCCTTTCTGGGACCTGCTTGGCTCCCAGAACCATCCTGCTGAACTCAATCCCGCTTTGGAAGGATCCAGGGATCCGCACAGAGATCCCCTTTCTCCGCTTTCGCATACTGTTCGCCACGTTTCCTTCATCAGCACACCTCTGGGACTGTCCGACCGTAAATGAGGATGTTGAGCGGGAGGGCGCCTCCGTGCAGGTGAATGCCCACCCTGGCTGGGCAGCCGGTACACCTGGAGCTCTGTGTCTCTGCCCCTCCTCCTGCCCCACTGCGCCCGCCCCTGGCAAGCCTGGCCCTCACGGCAGGCATGCGCTGTTGTAGCCTGGCAGATTCTACCCGCCATCCTCACCTATGGTTCAGGATACGATGGACCATCATCCATTCCGGCTTGATGCCGTAGCGGTAGAAGCGCTCCTCCATCTTGGCGTAGAGAGGGTCTTTGTTCTTCCGCTTCTCGCTCTTACCGTCCTCATCACCAGAGCCGTAATCGAAGGGTGGCGGTTCGTCCATATCATTCTTTCTTTGGTAGTTGCGATACATCACGGTGTGGTACAGCTCCAGCTGCTCACAGGTTACGAAAGGGAGATGGGCTGCTGACCCAGCCCTTCAGCCCCCCAGCCCTATCCTAGGTGGGACAAGCCTCCTCCTCCTCAGTGCCATCCCCAGCTCCCGCCCATGCCTGGAGGACATCTAATCAGCACATGGCAACCCATTCTTGCCCACCCAGGAGGGCCCCAGGCTCATACCAAGCCAAGTGTAACCACACTGCCTGGGCGTCTTACCTGTAGCTCCTTCACCCAGGAACAGTGCCAGTAAGAGAGCCCAGCCCACTTGACAAAGAATTCCCTCTCAGGGATGCCCTCCAGAGGCTTGGGTGGGCGCATGCCTGGCTCCGCCTCTGGTCCTGGCAGCCCCACCATAAAGGGAGCTGGGGGTTCGGTCCACCTCCAGTGTAGGATCCGCTGAACTTTGCCCTTCAGTGGGGGACACTGTGAACAGAGAATGGTCACCACGTTCAGGGGTGAGTCCCATGACAGTAGACTGCCACACAGGTTCCCAATTCCAAAGAGTGCAGGACAGTGGAACTTTGTACCCAAGCGGGCACAGCTTCAGAATGAGCGTCCTCAGAGTCTGGCAGGTTAACCCCGGATAGTTGAGCTCACTTCACACACAGGGCAGGAGGAGAAAATAAAACCCACTCAGCAAGGAGACAAGCCTCAGGACTTGCCTATCCATGCAGCCTGCCCTACTTGGAGCCCTGAGGATGACCACATCACATCCTGACCTACGAGAAGCACAAGGTAGCAACACTACATCCCTGGCCACTTCCTTCCTCCTGAGCAGGGGATACATGCAGGACTGTGCATCTGAGCTGGTTGGGGCAAGAAGGCCAAATCTCCCTCTGCCCACACACACTCAGGCCCTACGGGCCGTGGGCTGACTCGGAGCTGCTGGCTGGCAGAGCAGAGCAAAGCAACAGTCCTACCTCAGCACCCATGCTCTAGGCTACCCCGAGATAGCCTGGTGTGGCCATGACCCTCACAAGGGCAGCTGTGAGCCCTAGCTGGACTGAGGTGAGATGGCTCTGTAGCAGAGGACAGGTCTTAGCTCTGCCACCGTCCATCCATGTACCTAAGGACCCGTCAGTCTGTCCCTGTAAAAGCGGCCTCTCTTCCTCTGCCTTGGAGAACTGTTGGTGTCAGAATACAGCTGTGGGCATGCAATGTGCACCACACACCCCAGAACCAGTCACACTCTGGCCTCTGAGGCCAAAGGAGGAGAGGGACGAGACAGGAAGGCAGGGTGCATCTCTTGGACTCCAGGGATGTAGCAGGACTCCCTTCCCAGCCATAGGCCCGCCTGGCTTCGCTTCCTGCAGAGAGGAACCCTGAAGGCTATGGGGTCACCACTCTGTCACTAACCCAGCCTGGGAACACCAGGCCCAGGGTGCCTAGGGACCCGAATCCAAGCAGAAAGTTCTGCTGCTGCAGTGTGGTCTTGAGCAAAGCCACCGTGCCTCCCTGAGCCTCATATTCCTGCTGAGGATGAGCTTGGACAGTAGCTCGTGGGTAAGATCTTGCCTAGCAACTCCAAAATAATGTTTGAAAATCCATTAAGGGATGGAGTTACAGCTCGGTGCGAGGCCTCCTGGGTTCAGTTCCCAGTAGGAATGCGTGGCTCTTAGCTCAGAATAAATTCTCAATCAACAGTCCTAAGGGGATTCAGGGAAAGGGCAGGCTGGGTGAGCGCTGACTAGGAGGGCGAGCTTGTTGGGGGCGTGGCCTGGGCCAGCAAGGGCGGGCTCAGGGTCGGGTGGGCGGGGCGACATGGGCGGGGCGGGCAGGTGTTAACACTCACAGTACAGCGCGGGCAGAGCCATTCACCGTTCGGGATCTCGGGCAGCGGCGGGTTGAGGCAGTGCAGATGGTAGGAGGAGGGGCAGGCATCGCAGCACAGGAGCTCGCCACCGTCCTTGCACACGCGGCAGAACTCCATGTGATCGTCCTCCTCCTCCTCACAGCCACCCTCCTCCTCTTCCTCTTCGTCGTCCTTCGGCTCCCATTGGATCCCCTCCTTCTCCTGTAGCCGGAAGAGTCCAGGTGGGCGAAGCCTGGTGCGGGGCCTCTGCCCCAGGCCCCAGGCCCCAGGCCCCGGCCCACCAACCCCAGTCCGGACCTCGGCCCCAGCTTACGCAGTGAGGGCAGCTCCACTTGCCCTCCGGAGCCTTCTCCAGCTCCGGGTCCAGGCAGACCAGGTGGTAGGCCCTCGGGCACGTGTCGCACAGAATGATCTCGCCGCCCTGCTGGCACACTTCACAGTAGTCCTGGTGGTCTGTCTCATAGCCGTCGCCATCATCAACTGGGATGGGAAGAGAGGCAGTGAAGGGGGCCTGCCACACCCAACCATTCCCGCTACCCCAGGCCAGACTGGCACGTGATGGGTGCTTAACGGACCAAGGGGGTGGCTGTGAAGTGTGAAGGACACACAGTGTGTGCTCATGGAGAAAGAATACCACCAGGGAGGGCACGCCTTTAATCCCAGAACTTGCGAGACAGAGGCAGGGACATCTCTATGCGTTCAAGGCCAGCCCTGTCTACATAGCAAGTTCTAGACCAACCAGAGCTACGCAGTGAGACCCTGTCTCAAAAGCCAGAGAGAGGAGGAGAGAGGCGGGAGGAGTGGGGAATTTGGTGGGTCGGGAGCTATGTGGGTGATTGACAGGGAGATGGAGTGAGTTCAAGGAGTCTTCCTGCCTAGGACAGTCGACAAGAGCGGCTGAGGGAGCACACAGGAGACCGCCTGGCTGAGGTTGGGAAACCCCGGGGCATAAGGATGCCCTTCCCCAACTCTGCGCACCACCCCCATCATGGAAAAGCCCCGCCCTCGGGGAGCCCCGCCCCTTGGGGAGGAACCCTACTCCTCCTCTTCTTGCGCCTCCTCTTGCTCTTCTTGCCCAGAGCTGCAGAGCACTCGGAGCGCACCGAAGAGCTGTGGATGCTAGCGTTGTCCAAATCTGATTCCTCACGCTCATCCTCCTCGCTCTGCGGGCAAAGAGGTCGGGTTGATGGTTTGGGTAGGGCAGGGTCAGGAAGATCTGAAGCCTCCCTGTGGCTTTGGGGTCCCCCAGCCCAGCCACAAACTGCCCCCCCATCCTCCTGCTCTCCAGCCCTCTGACACCTGCACAGTTCTCCATACAGCTCCCCCAGGCTCTGACCTCCAACGGCCAGACTCCTACACATCCTTCAAGGGCTGCCCTAAAGAGCACCTCCCCTAGGAATCTCCACAGATCTCTCTCTCAGTGCACATGCCTGGTGGATCAATGGCTCCTTAGGAGCTGAGCTGGTCTGCTACAGCTAGGGCGTGGCCCTGCTCCCTTCAAGAGCAGCCAACCTCATGACCAGGCACTTGCCCCCACCAAGTGACATAGAAAAGCTTCCGCCCTCCTCTCCGCCCCGCCCTCCTCTCCGCCCCGCCCTCCTCTCTGCCCCTCGGCAGAGCAGGGAGATGTGACATCTGCCCAGCAGGGGTGAGGCCAGAAGATGGCCCGTAGGAAGAGAAGAACGGGACACAGGCCTAGGGGAGGAATCATGGCTCCAGCCAGCCTGGTCAAACAGGCCACCTCCCAGGGCTCCACCCTCTGGGCACACCTGTGAAGGGCCAGCTGATCCCTGGGCCTGATGGAGCCACAGTGTGAACAGCAGCAGCCACAGCTGAGCTCCAAGGTCAGAGTCTGAGCTAGGCGGGCCCTTGGAAGGGTCCACTCCACACCAGTAACAGGGAAACTGGGGCCCGGCAGGCCTGAATGCAGGGCCTGGGAGAAGCGTGCAGGGCTTGCCTTGGTTGGCTCACTCTCTGGTCAAAACAGCCCTCCCCTCACCCCCCTGCACATACAAGCATGCCTCCCACCCCACTCTGTCCGGAGCGTGCACACGTGTGCACGCGCACTGAGGAACTCTTCTCCACATGTGCGCGCACACACTCACCGAGGAGCTCTTCTTCCTCTTGCTGACCCCTCCAAAGCGGAACTTGAGCCCCGCCGCCGCCACGCGCTTGCCCCTCCCCTTTTTCTTGGAGTCTTTGGTGCCTTTGCTCTTCTTCCTCACTCCAGGCCCTGGGCATTGTGACAAGGGCTGCGATGACCAGCACCGCACCTGACCCCACCCATTGCAACCCACCACTTCACACAGCCTCCAACAGGGGGCCTGAGAGGCAAGGCTCTTGCTTAGGTGACTCGGGGAAGTAGCGAGGAGATAAACCTGACTCAAGTCCTGCTGTCAACAGCTGTGGCACTCAGAACTGCCTACCAACGTGAGAACAGCCTCTGCACTATCCAACTGACTGGCTTCCAAGGAGCCCCGTAGCTTCCGTACCAGCAGGGCAGGCCGCCAAAGCAACACTGCCCACCTGCAATCCATGGCCCCTAGAGAGCCATCCTGGTACCAAAAGCCAAGCCACCAGCCTCCCAAACCATGGGCTCAGGGACCTCCCATGGCTACCCCAACCTTCCTATCACCCTGGCCTACAGGCTGGATTCTTTGTGTGTGTGTGTGTGTGTGTGTGTGTGTGTGTGTGTGTATGTGGTGTGTGTGTGTGGTGTGTGGTGTGTGTGTGTGGTGTGTGTGTGGTGTGTGTATGTGGTGTGTGGTATGTGTGTGTGTGTGTGTATGTGGTGTGTGGTGTGTGTGTGTGGTGTGTGTGGTGTGTGTGTGTGTGTGTGGTGTGTGTATGTGGTGTGTGTGGTGTGTGTGTGTGTGTGTGTGTGTGTGTGTGTGTGTGTGTAGCTGGCAACACAGCGATTGGCCACCTTGGGAACAATGACCTCGCCCCCAGCGGGGAAGCCCATCCTGCTGCCACAGGAAGGCAAGGGGCCTGGTGACAGGATTCACACCCTTGCCAGGTGGCTTTGCCCCGTTCTCCTATGGCTACACCACACACAAGGACATGAAGATAGGGACCCAGCTGTACCCAAGCCATGCCACAGAAAAGCTATTGAATCTTTGGAGCTCTGATGGCCCCTGGGGGTGGGGGGGCATCAAAGGTCCAGCAGTAGCTGCTGGGCAGGTGAAAGTGGGAAAATGGGAAAGATTGGGGGATGGGGCAGGAGAAGGTAAAGCATGTGGCCCAAGGCTCTCACCCATCAGGCACTCTCTGAGACGTAAAAGAGAGGACCCAGACACAACACTCAGCACTGTCCTAGACACCACAGTCTGCGGGGGCTGACACATGGGGGCCCTGGACTCCTCGGTTCATCAAGTCCCGAATCAGAACACAGAACTCACAGGAGTTCACGCTCCCACTGGGGAAGTCAATGTCCCCAACCCCTCCGGCGCCAGAACTGGCCCTGCGGAAGCAGAAAGGCCTGCTTGCTCCCCTCCCAGCCCATCTGCATGGAGTCCGACTGGACCTGGGCCTCCTTGTTCTTCCTTCCAGCGCTGGCTGCACTCAGTTCTGCGCAGTCCCTGCACAGGGACTTGCCATGCACGCACACACGCACGGAAAGACCCTGACTCAGAAGTGGCTCCCGTGGGAGGATAAGGATGCTAAGCCAACACTGCCTCAAATGTCTGCAAAGCCAAGGCTGGAGCTACTCCATCTGTGGACCCCACCTCCACAACCACAGTAGGGGCTGGGGTGGGCAGGAGTGAGTTCATGCCGTGGACCACCCCGCCTGCCCCCCATGCCCACAGTGTGGGGGTAGTTGGGCAGATGTTAACTCCCAAAGACCCACCCACAACTCCTCCGCTCCCCCACCCTCCCCTGTAGGGGACAGGGCAGAAGCCGTGAAAAGGCTACTCTGTCTGAGGTCACAGAAAGGCACAGGAATCACTGGGCCCTCCATTAGGAGAGCCCCTAGCTGCCCCGTATGGTCTGGGGGAGCTTGGGAGGGGGCAGATCTACCAGACGCGCCCCCGTGCCCACCCTCCCACCCACAGCCTTACCTTTGCCCTCTTTGGTCTTGGCCTTGCGGATGGGCAGAGGTTGGGGCACCTGCTGGGGACTGATGGCCAACGGAGTAGCAATGGAGACAGTCTCCACGGCGGCAGCCACAGCCGCCGCAGCCGCCGCCGCCGAGCTACCCTTAAACGGGTTGTTGGCGCTGAATTCTCGCCACTTGGCCCCCAGGACGGTCATCATTTTGGACATGGGGATCTTCGGGTTCTTCTTGGCAATGAGCGGCCTGTGGGGGAGAGACAGGGGGGTGAGGGAGGGACCACCCTCCCCCTCACACCTGTGAGGTGTGGCCAGCCCCACGGTCCCGAGACTGGGAAAGGACAAACACCGGACACACCCCAGCATACTCCTCACTCCTGGTATGCTTCTGCCTGGGCTGCAGACCACAGTGGGGCCTACAGCAGGCCCCTCCCCACAGGAGGACCCACCACAGGGCCTGCCAGGCCCAACCATCAGCTGTGCCCGAATGAAGGGACCCTGACCCCAAGCCCTTCCCAGGTCACTGGCTGCTCAGATAGTCTACTAAGGAGCCCAGACTGCCTCTCCCTTCACCTCCCCTGACCTGGTGCACCTCAGGCAAGCACAACCCCCAGCCACAGCAGCCAGCCCCTGGCCCACCGGAGGAACTGGCTGAAAGCCTTGTAGTTGGTCAGTGTGTGGTAGTCTTCCTCTGAAAACAGGTAGTCGACATCATCAAGGCCCCACTCAGCCATGAGCTGTCCCGAGGACTTGGGCTCCTGCAGAGACACGGCCCGAGGTGGGGTCAGGGGCAGAGGCCTCTGGCCTGCCTCCTTGCTCTGAGAAAGGGGAAGGCAATCTGCAACCTAAGAACCACTCTCACCCACCACTGTGACACCCACCGGAAAGCCTCCCCCACCTGTCCCGCAAACCCCATGCCAGCGTGCAGGATGCTGTGAGCTTTAATGCTGGCACTGGGGAAAGACATGTATTGCTCCGGAAATGGAAGCAAACAGCCAGGGGAAACAGGCCAGAGACAAGCCTGGGCTGCTCTGGAGAGTGGGACATAGTGAAAGAAGGGACCAAAGTGGCCGGTGTCCCAGCAAGAGGCAGGGCCAGAGAGTCCCTCAGACACTCCCCAGATGTGGTGCTCAGGGGAGTGTGTGACATCCATCCCCAGGGCCTGTGAGTGTTCAACAGGGCCATCCCAGAGGTCCAGAGCTAGAGGACAAGACGGCCTAGGGGGCAGGGACCAGATGAAGAGCTAGCTATTGAGAAGTTCTTTTTTTTTTTTTTTTTTTTTTAATTTGAGACTCTCCCTCCCCCCCCCTCTCTCTCCCTCTCTCTCCCTCTCTCTCTCTCTCCCTTTCTCTCTCTAGCCCTGCTGTCCTGGAACTTGCTATGTAGACCAGGCTGCCCCTGGACTCACAGAGACCCCCTGCCTCTACTGGGATTAAAGGTGTTTGCTACTACACCCAGCTATTTTTCATTTATTTCTTTATATGTATATGACTGTTTTGTCTACATGTATGTCTCTGCACCACCTGTGGACCTGTGGAGACCAGAAAAAGGGTGTCATGTCCCCCTGACACTAGAGTTGGCGTTGTGAGCCACCATTTGGATACTGGGAATTGAACCCGTGGCCTCTGGAAGAGCAGCCAGTGTTCTTAAGCCCTGAGCCATCTCTCAACCCTGCTGTGGGTCATTTCTAAGCATGGCTCTCCCAGCAGTGAGAGGGAGACAAACTGGCTCACCCTTCTGCCTCAGCATCCTCATTCTGCCTCACAGAGAATTAGCATAGGCGCTTGGGCAAGGGATGAAGGGTTTTATTGACAGTTATCACAAAACCCTCACCCCCGCACCCGGTACCCTATCTCTTCCAGGTAATCTCGAGCTGTCACCACCAACCCCAACCTTCACCTATTAAGCCAATCTCTGCTCTTTCTCTGCCACAGTTCCTGATCTTTCTGACCAGCCAGGGGACATGGACCTCTGCCCACAGAGGCAGAGAAAGAAATGTTTACAGCCTTGGGTGACACCTACCATGAAGAACAGTCTGCCCTGACCCTTAAGTCCCCTTGGAAGCTGACTTTCCGGCCCTGCAGTGGAAGGCCACCCAGCTGGTACATAGACCTTCCCTGGTCCCCAGTACCTGTGTCCCAGAAAAAGCCTTACAAAGAGGACTTAGAAACCTGGTTCCATGGGGGACACCCTCCCATGGCCAACCTGCCCCCTTGGGAACACCAGGCCATCCCTGAAGGCACCTCCAGCGGGCACAGAGGCAAGCAGGCAATGCTGTCGTTGGTAATCCTCAACAGCCCATGGAAGTTAATTTCCCAAAACTGCCCCCAAGGCTATTACCAGTCACAGCTGATTCACCACACACCCTCCAGTGACTAATGGGACCACTGGAGGTGGTCCCCAAGTAAGCGCTGCTCCCCGAAGCACTCCAGCCTTCCATCATTCATAGCAATCGGCTCCCAACCGTGACCGTGTTGGTGCTTACAGTGCACAATCTATTCCTGGTGACGTGAGGTCATCCACACACACCTCACATCCCAGGGGATGGCCTCAGTTCCACTATGATGCCTTGGCTTGCTTTGTGACAAAGATGCTTATGCCCGAAGACAGCCAGACCCATTACAGCCACCGCCATGCAGCTCCAAGTTCACTGAGAGTCTGGAGGGATGCCCACGCAGGGAGAACTTCAGAGTGCACCAAGTACCCAGGCAGACCCGGCCACTCGGGGCTGTCCAGCAGATGCTGGTGGCAAGGACTCTATTTGTTGTTTTATTTCCCCAAATTGCTCCAAGCAAGAAGTTCCCAACACCAAACATGAGCTCACACTATGTATCATTCTCTCCAGAAACGGTTGCACACGAAGGTGGCCAAGCTGTTGCCATGAACAGCCCCGGTCTGTCAGCAAGGCACCACACCATGGTGTCCACAAACTGCTAAGTTCTCCGAGTAGCTGAGACTTCTCACTACAGCCCCTCATGACCCATGTCTGACTTTCACATGCACAGGGCTTGCTCTGTGCGGCCTCCCTGACTGTCTCGGGCTCTAAGGGCGCCTCCATCCTCCTGCCTGGCCCCAGACCCAGCAACTACCTTCAAGCATCCATCGTCATTATCATCCTCATCTTCATCTCTCTTTTTCCGCTTGGCTTTCTTCTCCTTCTTCTCCTTCAGTTTCTTTTTCTTCTTCTTGGTGGGGGAGTAATCGCTGCCTTCGCTCTCCGACTTCTCTTCCAGATCCTCCTCATTTTCTGACAGCTCATCGTTGCTCCCCTGGAAAAGACGGGAATGGTGAGGGTGCTGGACACTCCGGGATGCCAGAGACCTAGCTCGGCCACCGCCTTCACACACTGTGCACTGATGAGCGAGCGTGAGCAGAGGTGACTGACCAAATGGTGAGGTGATCTTGACTGAGACCAGAATCCACCAGGCAGGTGAAGTGTGGTGTGCCGAGCCCAGGGCAAGCTCAGCTTCTGCTTTGGTCATGGTGGATTTTGGAAGCATGATGGCACTCCACTCCAAGAACTCCTGGTAGAGGCCATGATGACCAGAGTAGAAAACCAGAGCATACAAGAAGAGCTCCAAGTGGGAGCTGACCCGTCGTCTAGCACCCACCCCGCACCCTCCAGCCAGGTGAAGCCTGCATCTGAGGAGATCACTGAGGACCAGCTCTCCAGAGGCCGCCACCCTACAAGCCTGTCTCCAGGACGGCCACTCCATCTCAGCGGTAGAGAAGGTAAATTAGACAGCTCTTCAGACTGACTCCTTGATTTTGTTTCCCGGCTGTACAAGAAAATGGCCCATTTATATGGAGATGAGGGTGTCTACAGTCATAGCACGCCCATCAGAAAGGTACTGCCCTGGAAGGAAGCAGTTTGCCTGTGACTTGGAGGCAAGCGATGGGACAGCGCCCCGTCCTCCCCTACCTATACTGTCGCTACAATTACCAGCTCAGGGCCCGTCACCCTTGTGATTGCTGTGACGTGTGTTCAAGGTGAGCAAAGATGGGCATGAGGAGAGATAGGGGAGAGAGCCGCAGATATGGAGACTGTGCTATGAAAACAGCAGCTGGAGAAAGGGAAAGGAGATGATGGGAGACACGGGGGAGGGGCAACAGGGTCTGCCTGGACAATCTGGGGGTCCTCAACATTCTCTTGCCTTTCCCAATAGAGAACCTCCGAGCCAGCACACCCCATCAGTTAATTAGCCGAGGTGTGATTAGCCGAGGTTGGACATGGCTGTCACTGAAGGGGCACCCCCTGCTGGGAAAGACCCCACCCATGTGTTCTCCTGGCAGCTCACCTCAATCTCCCCTCTGAGAGCCCTGCTCTTGAACCTGTTACCTGCTAACCCATCACCACATCAGCATCAGCACACTGACACCGCCTCCTTGCTTTCCCAGAACACTGACTCTGGTTTGCAGCCAAGAGACAGTTCCCAGCCCCCAGCTCCCACAGCTAGCAGTGATGCAGAACCCTAAGGCCACAGTTCCCCAGCGATGGGAAAGTGCGAGTCAGATGGGGACATCCCCTTCCCCCAGGTGACAGAGACCAGCCGGCTCTCTGAGGCGAGATGAGAAACAGAGGGTATCCTATACTTCAGCACCACAGACAGCAGCTGCAGCCTGCCCTGGAGAAGGAAGCCCACGCCCTCCACCACAGTCAAGGCCAAATGACCCAGGGTGGATGGAATCTGGCATGGCCTGCCTGTGGGTCCTTGATAGCCTGGGACCCGTGAAAGCTGTTGTAACAACCTGAACCTCCGACTCTCTCATGTGTGCAATGATGAGAGGGCCCAGGGGGATTGTGCACATGGAGGCCCTGACATGGGGTTGCCATGCTCAGAGACTGGCATGGCATCATGCCCTGGCGGGGGACTTAGGCCAGAGCAGTCTACATTCAGGACCCACAGACGCCCTTTACTCCTGATACACACCCAGGCAGAGGCGTCTCCCAGGAACAACACCCCAAAACACGGTGACTGCGTGGGGAGCAGAGATATGGCAGAGGTGACACAGCCCACTTCCATCCACTGGGACAGGACCAAAGCCAGACACATGGGTCCCGAGCAGCCGGGCGACAGTCTGGGTAGACCACATGACTCTGCCTGGTAGCTGGCCAGAGCATGTTCCAGAAAGACAGCAACGGTGCCATATCAGGTGTGCAGGAGCCATGGGGAGTGGCCAGCACAGAGGGAGGCAGGAAGGCGCCTCCAGTGGACTGCAGTGTCTGGCAGCCTGTGCAGGGCACTGACAGGGGGCGGGGCTCTGCTGAAGCTGAAAGCCTGGCCTGAATTCAACCAAAGTACACTCCAGAGCTGGAGGAGGGCAGGGAACCGAGCTGGAACCCCGGCAGGGTGATGTCGGCCCTTTCCTCCAGCCGAAGCGTAAGCACGCTTCTTATTCCATCCACGGGGAGGCGGGACTCTGACCTCCAGCCCCCAGCCCCCGGCCCAGCTCTCTTTTTCTCCAGCCCTGCCTCTCCTAAATAAAGCCGCCACAGCCTGGGCCACACACCCCCCACCCACCCACCCACCCACCCCCGCATCCATGCCCTCACCCGACAGTGCAGGCAGAATGAGCCTATGCCAGCAGAACTTGTACCAACTGTTTCCACTACTGGGCCTCCTCCTCCCCCTGACAATCACAAAAACATCCTGCCTCACAGAGATGGGGGGGGGGGAGGCTCTGCAACTGGATCTGAAACGCATCCGCAGAGTGGCTGTCAGCGGGACCAGGGCGTAGCAGTGCCAGTAGAGAGCAGGGAAAACCGGCCACGAACCAGACCAGGAGGGGCCACACAGGGTCTCAGAACTTACCAGGGTGTGCACCTTTAACCCTAACACTTAGGAAGCAAAAGCAGGTGGATCTCTGAGCTTGAGGTCAGCCCGGTTTGTAGACCAAATTCCAGGCCACGTAGTGAGACCCTGTCTTAAAAAAGAAACTTACGGGGGGATGAGGAGGTGGGCCACACCCCACTCAGGAAGGAGACACAGACCAATAACTCTAATAAATCCCACAAACCAACCTCTGCCCTGAGGTCTGAGAGGAGCCAAAGCCCATAGCAGGCTGTGAGAAAGAGAATGGCTGGGCCTTTGACCTTGGCATTGCCCTTCATGGAAACAACCCTGGCTGTCACTGTAAGCGGGATGCACTAGTGTCTGCAAGAAGAACCTTAGGGGAACATAGGCAAAGCACCTCACGATGCCACGCCCAAGCTGAGGGCAAAGAGGGGGTCTCTGCTCGGAGCCCCTTTGCCTGCCAAGGGCGCAGCAAGCAGTTGTGGCTGGTGGGGACCCCAAGTAGGCAATCCAACACCACCCTTTCTCTCTCCCGCTCCTCAGCTTCTGAGCCCAGGCCGCCTGCCTCCCTCCCCTCTCTGTTCTGTGCCAGGCACACCCTCACATCTCCCGAAAAAAAAATAAAATAAAAAGCGCCTGGGCTCAAAGGAAGAACTCAGGGAGCTGGGTCATTCTCGACTTGGGGTCCTTCAAGACGGGAGAGGGGAAGGGAAAGAATGAAATATGAGCCTTCCCATTCACCAGTGTTATAAACAGTTATAATTTAGCACTGAATAATTGGTTGCTATGACAACCGCTGCAGTACAGGTTGAAATCAGTTCTCCTCCTGCGCTCTGGTCTGACAGGGAGCTTCATCTACATATGCTCAGGTTCCGGCTGCAGCCCGGTTATTTTATGTAAATCAGAATCCACGGCTTGCCGCTTGCCTGTGTCCCCCCCTCCACCCCACCCCCAACCACTACTGAGAGCCCACCTGCTCCGGCCCCCTCTGTGCCTCCGAGTCACCTGGGGGGGTTGCAGTGGAGGGGTGGGGAGGAAGGAGACTCCCACACCCACACCGTGATCTAGGGCTCGGGGTGGGTGGGTGGGTGGGTGGGTAGACAGAGCCTCCTCTTTGTAAATAGCATGCTACACGCTGCCATCCCTACCCCCAGGTCCTGCAGCTGGTGAAAGCCAAGCCTGGGGTGTGGGGAGCACCCTGGCCCAAGGGTCAACCTGGCACTGGGCATCTGGAAATCTACCCCAATGCTCCACCCTTGTAAAGAAGCGGTGTTGGTCTCAAGGAGAGGAGACCGACCAGGGCAGGGGACAAGGAGGAATGGGAGAGAGGGGGAGGGAGATGAGATACAGGAGGGGAGATGGAGAAGAGGGATTAATAAGGCAGAGAAAAGAGGCACTGGCCAGAGGAAGAGCCCCCTTCAGAACCAGAGGGGGTCGGGATGGAGAACAACACAGCCTTCCTTGGCCCCACGCCCCACACATACACACACACACAGACACACAGACACACACTCACACGCACACATACACACACACTCACTCACATGCACATACACACACACATATACACATACACACACACATATACACATACACACACACATACACGCACACATATACACATACACACACTCACACGCACACATACACACACACTCACTCACATGCACTTACACACAGAGACACACTCACGTGCACACACACACATGCACACACTCACACACACAGACACACACATACACATACACACACAGACACACACATATACACATACACACACTCACACAGACACACACACACACATACACACTCACACACTCACACACACAGAGACACACAGACACACACTCTCACACACAGACACACATATACACATACACACAGAGACACACATATACACATACACACTCACACGCACACATACACACACACTCACTCACATGCACTTACACAGAGACACACTCACGTGCACACACACATGCACACTCACACACTCACACACTCACACACACAGAGACACACACACACACAGAGACACACACACACACAGAGACACACAGACACACACTTCACACACTCTCACACACAGAGACACACATATACACATACACACACTCTCACACACACACTCACACACACAGACACACACATACAGACACACACATACACACACAGACACACACAGACACACAGACACACACTCACACACACAGACACACACATACACACAGACACACACTCACACACACAGACACACACATATACACACAGACACACACTCACACACACATACACACTCACACACACATACACACACTCTCACACACACTCACACACAGACACACTCACACACACAGACACACACTCACACACAGACACACACTCACACACTCACTCACACACACTCACACCAAGACGTCTGATAAAGATACAAAGCAGGGGAGGGGTTGGGGTAGGAGGGGAAGAGGGTTGCATGTACGTGGCTGAGGGAACCCTTAGGTTACACTAGACAAAGCAGAGACAAGAGGAGAAATCACACAGGCTGCAGGTTGAGCTTAGGCCCCCTCAGATGCCCGTGACCTTCTCCATAGCCATCTCTCGGGTAAAGGCACTTGCTGGGTCAACATCCCCAACACAGGGACCGTGAAAAGAAGACAGAGCAGACAAAGGCAATGGCTATCACCCACCTTTCACCAACATTTTCCTCTCCTTGGGGGTCTCCTCCCTTCTACCCCTGGCCTCCATTCTGGAGCCCCAGAAAAACCAGCTCAAAACCTTGTGGCAACTCAGTTTTATGTAGGGGCAGGCAAGAGGCGGTCACTGCCTTCAACAGACCTCTGAGCACCTCTGCTCTGTCATTCAGAAGGAGAGGTGTGTACGCCACCCTCCTGGCAGGGCTGCTTGGGGATGCAGGAGGAGAGAAGACAGAAGAGTCTTGCTCCAATCGGGAGGGACGCTAAGCTACATGCCTGTCTCAGTTTCCCACCATCGATTCCCAGGGCTGACCTCAGAGACAGAGCAAGTGGGCCTGAGGCACATGGAAGCAGAGCTCCAGCAAGCAAGCCACCTCGCCTCTTCAGCCCCGAGGCTCAGCATCTCCTATACAGAGCCACCAAGAACCAGGAAGTAATAAAACGGGAACATTAAAGCCACCGAGCGTAAGCACAGCCCTGACACACAGCCGATTCCTCACTCACGGGAGCCTCCTTGTGTTTCTCGGCTCTCAGTGGGACTCACTGAGGAGATGAGGCTCCAACAGAGCAGCCAGAGAGAGGGCAGGCAGCGGCTGCCCAGGGCCAGGCTGAGACTACAGGGCAAGGTAGGGAGACAGGCAGAGGGAGCATCATGGTGTTCCGGCCCAGGGCAGAAGGACAGCTGACCCTCCGGCCTTCCTAAGAAGCAGAATGTGCCATTTCCATCTCGGGGAGCCTCGGCGTCGCGACACCCACCACAGGGGTCCCAGGGGTGCAACACAAGGTCTGAGCCCACCCCGCCACAAGCCTCACCTCCTCCTTCTTCCGCTTCACTTTGGACTTGTTCTCTTTCAGCTTCTTGGGCTTCTTCTTGGGAAGGCTCACGGGCTCTGCAGGGAAGAAATCCTCGAAGCCTTCAAGGCCACCGTCGTCTTCTTCTGCAGGGGTTGGAAGGGAGAAGGGTTTTAGCCAGAACCAGGGACACAGAACCAGAGGGAGGCCACGGGACCCCCACACCACCCAGATCCAGCAATGCCAGGTCACAGCCGTGTGACCACAGTCCTAGGCCAAGGAACAACTGTCACGTCCACTCTGGTGGGCAGCACAAGTCCCCTCCCCTCTCTGGCCTTTCCTTCCCCCCTCTGTAAGAAGGGACAACAATTGCAGTGGAGGCAGAATCAGGAGGATCTCTGTGAGTTCAAAGCCAGCCTGGTCTACAGAGCGAGTCCCAGGACAGGCTCCAAAGCTACACAGAGAAACCGTCTCAAAAAAAAAAAAAAAAAAAAAAAAAAAAGGAAGGAAGAAGAGAAAGTTAAGAAGAGAAAAGACAAGACAGTACATTAATAACCTGGTCCTGAACGCAAATTAGCAAAAGAGAATGATGTCCTTACTGGCCTGGGGACAAGTGGCCTCATGGGACATCAAAGTCTTCGATAGCTGGCTCAGGGAAGGCTGAGGCCCAAAGGAGAGGCCAAGCTAGTAAGGCCTATCCTTACCTCCAAAGGGTCAAGTACAGCTGAGGTGTGGCTCTCGAATGCAGGACATAAAGGACCGGGTCCCACTGGTCAAAGACTCAACAGTACTCTCTCAATGAGGGGTTCAAGGTTATTCTACTCCCCTTGCCCAGCCCTGTGCAGGGGAGCAATACTCATGACCAACCTAGGTATGAAGGGCTCCAGGATGCCAAGCCCATTCCACACGTGGGTTCTCCAGAGATTGTCCGTGAATTCCAAATTCCCTCACTGGCTTCAAGAATTAAAGGCCAAACACCAGACATGGCTGAGCATGCCTGTGACCCCAGTGTTGGGGAGAGCCTGCTAGCCACGCAGCCTAGCCAAACTAGGGAACCTATGGTCCAGTAGGATCCTGTCTGAAGGTAACAGCGACAGAGAAGGCATTGGATGTCTTCCTCTGGCCTCCGCATGTACACACACCCACACCCTCGGGTGTGCACACCACATACACAACTTTTTTAATTATAGGCTGAGAGGGAGAAGGGTGGGCTCAGGGGCTGGGGTCATTTATAAGGCGGCTAGTGGCTCCATGTCTCCCCAAAAGGAGAAAGGTACATCTGCCCCAGCTCACCCTCAACCTAGAAGGGAATTCTGTTCTAGGGAGGCATGGTGAGCTGGAACCTGACTCCTACCCTCTGAGGAAATCCAAGTTGAGCTAGTGTTCCCATTCACCAGACATGACCTCAGAGGGGAGGTAGCAAGGGTTACCTCAAGGACATGGCATCAAGAGCCAAACCACCCAAAGTAGAGAGAGAAATGACCACCCAGGGGGACAGAGGACAGAGATGACCACCCAGGGGGACAGAGGACAGAGAGATGGCCATACAGGGGGACAGAGGAGGCTTCCAGAGTAAAGTAGCTCCAGGACCATGACAGAGCGAGCCTACTTCACCAGCCCATAACCTGACTGCCTTGGCAGGCCCCTCCTGCCCCAGTGAGTGGCTGGGGGTGACCAGAGGAGTGTGCTTAGAGAGTCAACATCCTTCTCAGATCCCACACAAGCCGCCTGCCAGAGTTTGATCACTTGAGCCCCAGAGCCCTGTGGAAGACGGGTTCTCACTGGGTCTGTCTGGATCCCTATACATGGTGGCTAACTTCATTCACACATATCACACTCTTAGAAGGCAATTTGTGTCTCCAGTAGCTAAGAAGATGCCCTCCCGAAGTCTACACAGTCAGTCTGTATCTGTACAATCCTCCTCCTGGGGCAAGGTACCCTCAGCACCAGGACCCCAACGCAGCTCTCAGAGTCCCCAGGGCAGGGATAGAGTGTGCCAAGGTTCCAGACCCTCCCTATTGTCAGAGTGGGAACTCAGGAGAGCAGCCAGCAAGCAGAGAGGAGGAGGCAGACTCCAGGCAGGACTGGAAGCTGCTGCAAGGTGGCGGCCTGAGGACAGGCCAAATACAGGCCATCCCTGGAGGACCACCACAGTACGTGCCAGTACAGAGGGAGGCATTGCTGAGGCTGGGCCCATGAGGGGGCTACAGCTGTGTGGCCTTGGCAAGGCTCCAGAGTGCAGGGAGTGGGCAGTTGAGGTCATTTATGACTTGAGCTTACATGGGCCAGGCATCCAAGCTGGGGCCAGGTGATGTTGGAAGTAATACGTCCTGCTCCTCTGAAGCCCTAGTGTGCCAGAGATAGGGGGAATCTACAGAGAGGCCTCAGTGTCAGCTTGGCGTGAAGGAGTCTGGGCAACGGCTCTGGGGATGGCAGGAGGCCAGGCTAAAGTGGCCAATGGGATACCATCCACACCTGTGTATTCTCCCAGGCATCACGGACGCGCACCCAAACAGACACACCCCATCCCTTGGGAGTGCTCCACACCCGTTATGTAACAGGCTGATGCAATGTTAAGGGGTCTCCCTCTCGCCTCTGCAGGACAGTCCTCCGTCTCCACGCAGCAGGGGAATCCCCAGGCTTAGGAAGCCAGCCCAGAACATGTTCCCCCACCAACCAGAAGGAGACGGAGGTCCACAGGTGGCTAGGAATGTTCTAGAAGGAAGCCTGTAATCCACTCATGGATACAGAAGGAACCCCCAGGCTAGCTGTAACTCATCCAGAACAAACATAGACCCCATGTCCATAAACAGTACCCCTCACAGTCCAAGTCTACCTGATTAATTTAAAAAAGTTAAAAAAGATATCTTCCTTGAGGAAATTTCCAGAGCTGGCACCTGAGGATGGGGACCCAGCTCTGACCACACCCATCTCTAGCAGGCACTTCCTGTCCCTACTTTGCTTCTGGTAGCCCCGAGGACACCTCAGGCCTGGCCCTCATGACACTGGATCCTACCCCATTGCCGCAAACACCTAGTCCTTACTGGCAGGCACTGCAGCCCTCTCTTCCCAAATGGGCTACCCCTGTCCTCAGCAACAGGTCCTGAGGCTTCTAAAATCAAGCCTGGGAGTCACCATCCAAGCCACACCGCCGTCAGCCACGCCCAAGTCTCAGGCTTGTGCTGTGTGGTCCGTCCCTGGTCTTCCTTCCCACGGCCCCATCGGCCAGGGGCAGGTCAGAGGCAGTTTGTAAAGCCAGGGGCATGTGGCCAGTTGGAAAGATAGGATTCCACTACCCTGGAGTGAGGGGACCCAGGGTGGGGGCAGCCAGCTCATAAAACAGTTTGTCCTGCCAATTCCCAGCCCCTGGAGGCTGCCCCACTGCCCCCTTCTGGCCGGCCTGGTTATACCCTCAAACACCAGCCAGCCCCACCCCAGGGCCCCAGGCTCCATCCATCAGAGCCAGCTATAATTAGGACCATCAGCTTGGTAACTTCTCACATCCTACGGCCTGAGGAGGAGCAAGGGAGGCTACTTCCGAGACTTGGGGTGGGAGAGAAGATGGGGACAGCGTGAGGGTCAGGGTCGGAGGACAGAATCAGGCAGGGTAAAGGCATAACCTCTGCCAGCCCCTTGTTAGCTGCGCACACTCTAGCTCAGGCCTGCACTTTCCAGCTGCAGCTGAGGGAGCCGGCTGGCCCTTTCCGGCAGGAATGGCACCCAGCCAAGTGTGGCGGCACAGCCTCCGATCTCGGCACAGCACAGTCTGAGGCAGGGTGATGTCAAAGTTCAGAGACTGCTGGGCTGCAAAGCCAGGCCTTCGCCTGATAACCCATTTGCAGCTGGGCGACTCTGAGGACCTCATTACCTCCCACAGCCGTCGGGGAGTACAGCCAGGTGGCAACCCAGGCAAGAGACACACACATAGCAGTATGCGAGCCCTCCCCTAGCTCTGCCCTCCAGGCTGTGGACCTGCCCAGACCCGGTATTTCAGCAGTGTGACCTTGTAGGCCAAGCTCAGGACTGTACCCCAGGACCACTGGAGTGGCTAAGGCCAGAGCCTAAGAGATGGGGTGCGGCGCCCATCAAGACAGATCTAGGGACCTACCCCCAGGGTGAGGGAAGCCTTGCAGGCTCCAGGCCCTGCCTCCTCTGAGGAAGAACAAGCCACCAGGAAGCTTTTCCATCAGGGAGAAGTTACGTCATCTGACTCAGTGAGTGGAGGACTAGGGAAGGGGGTCAGAGGCAGCAGCTGGGATACGACCTCCACCACCAAAGTCTCAGGAGAGCAAACTAGCCAAAGGCGAGACCCAGCCCAGTCCATCCTTCCCACAACCCAGGGAGCCGGGGCTCCTTCTGTTTCCAGCCCCCATAGCCCATCTCCAAGTAGGGCACAGGGCCACCTAGTGGTCAGAAGGGAACAGGGTCACCTGAGAAGCAGAAGGGCTTCAAACCACTACCCCTTCCTGACCAGTGGCCCCAAAGCCTGCCCCACTGGCCATTTCTCCATCTGTGAAATGGGTTCATGCTGCAGCCTTCCTCCTGGGCAATGGAGAGACACGGGATTGTGAAGACATGGAACCCCAGTGCTGGGTGCAGCTCAGCGACACCCAAAGAACCCAGAAGGGGTTCCAGGGAGTGGAGGTACTCTGGGGCCAGTACTTCCAGACAGTGAAAAGCCTAACCAGGGTTCTCTCATTCATCTCTGGGCTCAGGCTCTCAGCCGATCCAGAGCAGTGCTACCGTAACCGAAGAGTTGATTAATAATTTATTTATGACATTTAACAAAACCCAGACATCACCTCATTGGCATCTCATAAAAGAGAGAGGCAGTCCAGAGAGCGAGCAGAGGAGAGGCGTGGGGGCGGTGGCTCTCACCCTAAGTGGCTGGGACCTGGGAGAGTGAGGAAGGCCCAGGGAAGCAGGGAGAAGGTTCCAGTTAGGTGCCGGGCGTGGGTGGGTGGGAAGAAAGGTGAGGAGAAGCGACAGGGACAAGGGACAGGCAGAGACGCCAGACAAGGGGGGCCTGGGGAGGAAACGGAGCAGGAGAAAGAGACTGGGGGTGGGGGGAATAAAGACAGAATTACAGAGACAAAATAGTCTCAGAGGTGCTTCTGCACGAGCCCTAGAAGCCTGGTGAGGTGGTGCACGCCTAGCACTCGGGAGGCAGAAGCAGGAGGGTCTTTGTGAGTCTGAGGCTCTCCTGGTCCACATAGTGAGTTCTAGAACAGCCAGAGCTACATAGTGAGACGTTGCCAAACAAACAAAGTGCCCAAGAAAGAAAACATACACTGCTCAGTACTTGGGTCAAAGATATTCAAGAAATCTGTGTCGAATAGGTGGATGGGAAGGATGGTAGAAAAGGGCATGGGGGTGGGTAGGTGGACGGAAACGGGCGGATGGATAATGGATGGGTATAGTAGACAAATGGATGGTGGATGACTGGGATGACTACGTGAAGCATGGTGGGTACATGGATGGAGAGCTGGTGGACAGGGGGTGGCGGGGTGGGTGGATACAAGAATAAATGGATGGATGGATGGATGGATCATGGATGGATGGATGGATGGATCATGGATGGATGGATGGATCATGGATGGATGGATGGATGGATGGATGGATGGATGGATGGATGGATGGATCACGGATGGATCATGGATGGATGGATGGATGGATGGATCATGGATGGATGGATGGATGGATCACGGATGGATCATGGATGGATGGATGGATCATGGATGGATGGATCATGGATGGATAATTGGTAGGTGTTATGTATTGATAATTCATGTTTGGGTGGGTGTTAGATACGGTCAGGCTCCCTGAAACGTCTCTACTCCATGTTGGAGGGGTTAGCTGAGAAAGCAGGGATCTTTGTGAGTCATGGCAGCCATTCTCCCCTCTGACCCTAAGATGTTTACTCAGATAGAGCTAGATCTGGGTGGAGACAGGGACCAGTCAAGTCCCCAGCTAAAGGAGAGCCCAGGCTCTCTTCTGACAAAAACACTGGGCCAACCAGGCAGGGACACCTCCAGCCCACCTCTAGGGAAAAGCCTTGAGGGCCAGGTCCTCCACTCTCTGCCTTCAGCCCTTCCACAAGCTCCCAGCCTTGCTCCAGCCCAGGCTCCGGGCAGACACTTACTACATGAGGACTCAAGTCTCAGAAGCATATCCTTGGGGAGGCAGGCCTGCTAACCCTTTTGGATGGTGCTAATCACAGCTGCCATGGTTTGCTGTGTGTGTATGATGTGCTGGGCACTAACTATGGCCTGAACATTCTGTGTGTGCTATCGCACGAGGCCTCACAATAACCTTCTGTGAGGTGGCTGCTGCTGGATTCATTCTACAATCGGGGACACTGAGGCACAGTACTGGGGGGGAACCTTGTCCCAAGTCCACGGGACCAACAACAAGGGTGCTGGGGTTTAAGTTCCCCTCCATCCAGATCTCAAATCCTCCCTTTGACCAGCACACTCCCCTGGGATCCTGGCAGCTGCCAACCTCTTGAGCCAGAAGAGGTGGGAGCTGACCCCACTCTCCTCACAGCAGGCTCACCCACCAGCCACAGAGCTAGAGAGAGCGGGCCAAGGAAAAGTCCTGTGTAGGAAACCGTTCAGATGCCAACTGCTGCCTGTTGAGAATTTTAGTGCGAAGGCTCCCACAACACTGACTCTCCCTACGAGGCTCCAGGGGTCTAACAGGCCACTTTCACGACCTCCTCAGCTAAGAGGAGCTCCACCGCAAGCTGCAAAAGGCCCCAGGCGGCCACCACTGCAGACAGACATGAGGACTAGGACAGGACTGCCCCCACATCCAGGGAGCCCGGGCGACCTAGAGACAAGCTTTCCACCATTAGACACAGTCTCTCCAGCACCCTCCATCCCGGTTACAGTTAGGGGTCCCAGCTGCGGGGGGGGGGGTGGGTGTCAGAGGGGAAAAACAAGTTTCCAGAGGACAGGAAGTACTGCAAGCGAGCAAGCCCCAGAAACCAGGCCTGAGAGTCCATGGTGAGGATGAAAGAAGGTGTCCCATGATGCACCAGAGCTGGGAGCTGCATGGACAGAGCAAACTTGTGAGCAAAAGACAGGGGTCAGGCAGAGGTCAAAGCCAGGGCCCAAGGACAGGGTGGCACCTGCAGTGGCCCACAGAAATACTGTCGGCAGAGGCTGGGAGTCAGAGCCCAGTGACGAGCATTAGGAAGACTGAATGGACCAATGGTCTGGCCCTAAGTAGGGAATATCGTTGACCACTTCCTAGGACATTCTGGCTGGGCCCACGGAGGGGACAGAAGCTTACAACCAGGGACCTGGAAAGGTGCCCCAAGGCTCTGGGGGCAAAACAATCATGGTGGTTAATGGACAGGAATTCCCAGCTAGAGAGATAGGAGCAGGGGTCTCCTTTTCATGGCTTTGGAAGTGCTCGCGAAGGGCCCAGAGGGACAGTCCCCTGCCTGCCCTGGGGTGGGGAGAGGCACTGATTAGGACCAATATCCAACCCCTATAACCCCACAATGAGTGTCCACCATCCTGGGGCCACCTAGAACCTCACCAAGCCTCCTACTCTCCTGATGCAAGCAAGGTCAGGCAGGAAGAAGGAGGCACCGTTTGAAATAACTGAAACCCCCGAAGCTGGACTGTCGATACACACTCAGCTGTCCACCGCCCCATCAGTACCACAAAAGACCACGCCCCAGTCACCACCAGGGATCTTTGGAGAGTTAGGTTCCTAGGCAGAAAACAGCTACAGGTTTCTTGGCATGTGTTTGGCCTCTGCTTTCCCCTCTGAGAGAGGGGCCGATCCCTTCAGCCTGTGAATCTGTGATTCCACAGTCAACTCCTGGAAACCATACCTCTGCACATTAACCCCATGGCAGGCTCTTGGCCTGGCTGAATGGGGAGGGGTTGAGCGTCAGGCTCCTGCAGGGGGCCCCAATGACAGCCTCACATCCACTAAACATACAAGCCAGTCCACGGAAGAGGAGACTGGGGGGCCGGGGGTGTGGCCCCTGGTGAAGATACTGAATGGCCTGGGAGGTGCTTCTCTCCCCCCTGGAGAAGAGAACTGGGATGCCAGTGTGTGAAATAGTCTCATCCATGGGGATGTAGATTCCTGGGCAAAGGGGGACCTTCTGGCCTCTCACAAGTCCTCAGAAGTCCAGGAGGAGCCACAGACTTGGAAGCTGAGAAGTGGTAAGCCTCAGGAGGGAGGGAAGAAGGGAGGAAGGGCAGCCGACAGGGTGAGGCCCTGCCAGGCTGTGCCAGGATGGGAAGAATCCTGCAAGGTAACCCCCGAGACGCGAGCACACACCCGATGGAGGCTGGCAAGGGCAGGGGCGGTGGCCCTGGGGCGTCAAGCCCACAGGCAAGGCGGGCAGGGTGGTCTGGGAACAGGGCTGGCACTGGGGCTGAGCACGCCCGGCGGCCTGGGCAAAGTGCAGCAGCGGAGCAGCTGTCAGGCACCGGGAGTCGGAGCCCGCGCGCCCGGGCTGGGGCATCGCCAGCTCCCCACGCGCGGCCCGTCCTCGCCCCGCCCGCCCGCAGCGCGCGCTTCCCGCCGCCTTCAAGGGCACGCGGGCTGACCCCGCCGGCGGCGCCGCGCCCCCTCCCGGCCCGCCGCTCGCGCAGGCCCCGCCGCCGTTCCCCCAGGGGTCCCTGGCGCACCCCGCCCCGATCGCCGCGCCCCGGAGCTCGGCCGGCCCCGCGCCCTTGGCCCGCGCGGCGCCAGCAGGGCGGGAACGCAGCCCGCAGCCCGCAGCCCCGAGCCCGCAGCCCCGAGCCCGCAGCCCCGAGCCCGCAGCCCGCAGCCCCTCCCGCGTCCCGGGCCAGCAGGTCCCCGCGCCCCTCACCTGACATCTCCTCCTCGTTCTCCATCTCCTCCGCGAACAGCCGCGGCAGCTCCTCCTCGGTGCCCAGCGGGCCCCGCATGCCCAGTGCGGGGGGGAGGGGAGGTGGGCGCCCCCCTCCCGCCGGGCGCGGTGCCAGCCTTAACCCGTGAGCTGCCGGACGGACCCGCGCGGCGGGCGAGGCGGTCTCGGCGAGAAGATGGCGGCCGCCGGCCCCCCCGCCCCCCAAAACCTCCACCCCCCCGTGTCGACCCCTCAAGCTCTCGGCCGCCTCTGCCCGCACCCGCCAAGCCCGGGCCGCTCCGCCCACCGCGCCCCGCAGCGCGAGTCCCGCAGCCGGCCGAGGGTGGCGGCGGCAGCGCCCGCGGCACGGCGGCACGGCGGGGGGGCGGCACACATGCCCGGATTGTGACGTCCAGTCTGGTTGCTGTGGCAACCCCATCCCATCGTTCCGCCAGCGCGACTAGTTAACAGCAGAGAACAAGTTGGGGGGACTAGTCCTGAGCAGCCTGGTGAGCGCGGGGGCCGGGGCCGGGGCCGGGGCCGGGGGCCGGGAGCCGTCGAGGCAGGAGCCGAGACATGATGGACGGACGGACGGACGGACGGAAGGGACGGACGAGCTGGCTGCTGCGGGGCCTCGGTGGCCCGGGCGCAGGAGGAGGCAAGGCAGTGCCACCCGCGCGCGCGCCCCGGGCAGGGCCAGGGGTGCCACCCCGCCCGCGGAGGCACTTGGGCCGGAGAGGCAGGGTGTTAAACCACAAGCTGCCCCCCCCCACACACACACACAGCCTTTTACACACCGGACTCACGCCACCTCGGTTTCAGTCTACCGGTTTCAAAAGAGAAGAAAATGTGCCCGCACTTAGGGAAGGGTCACTCTGGTGACAGTGGGTGAGACTGGTCCAGAAAAACCCGTGGCTTCCCACTCGCCCACGTGCCCTCCCCAAAACACTCCTCGGGGCTGTGGACAGCTCAAACACATCCAGGTCCCTCGGGTTCCGTAGGGTCTGTGCCCGGGACTCCCACCTGTCGACAGGCGGAAGGGTTGATGGCTGCCAGCCCGCTTGTTGAAGGAGGAGCTGGATGCCAAAGCCCCGGGGAGCAAGACTGGAATTTTAAGAGAGTGCTTTCAGCCCGGTGCAGCAACCTTAAGAACACGAGTTGCAGGATCCAGCAGGAAGTCGCCAGCTCTCCAGTTCCAAAAGTCCTGTAAAGGGGGGGGGGTCACCCCTCAGGCCTCTGACCACACGCTGAGGGCGGGACCTGCCTGACCTGAGAGGCTAAAAGTGTTAAGAGCAAGGACGAGCCCACAAATCCTCAAGGCTGGGCCGAGCACTCCAGCTTCCAGTATCCAGACCTGTCACCTCGTGTCCCAACACAAGACCTCTTGAGGAGGTGGCTGCATTCACTGGGCTGGCCCAAGGCAGCTGATGGGGTAGAGGTGGAAAGAGCCGTTGCTAACTCTTTTCTTCTCATGCTATATAAATTGTGAACACCTCCGCAGAAACCCTTCCCAGGTCTGTCTGTCCAGCCTGTCAGGATCGACAGAAAGGGTACTAGGGCTCTCCATCTCACAGACCACTTTGACAGCACTCTCAACAGTGGAGGCCACCTGCACAAGGTCAGAGGACCAGCCAATAGGAAGAAGGTGGCTGAGGATCCAAAGGGTTCCTTGCCAAGGGGAGCCCCAGATTGCTGAGGCTTGAGCCTGCTCTGGGAGGGTTTGCCGGCTCTCTCCAGGTCACTGGTTTCCCTGACTGCTAAGGGTCCAGGGGAGGAGGGGGGAAAGCCAAGCTCCACCAGATATGCCCATGCTCCAATACCAGCCCCCAAGAGCTCTGTGTTGGTAGACATTAACCCTTTTCAAAGGTCCCCTGCCCCACCCCAGAGAAACTTGTGACATATCCCTCCGCACCAGAAAGCCTCCCCCCTTCCCCACACACGTGCACAGGCATGCATATGTGCACATACACCATTAACCTTGGCTCCGATTTCCAAGGCAAGGCTGAGAAAGTCAAGATATTCAAGAACAGCTCCAACTGCTTAATTTGCAGCAAATTAAGAGTCAAGATGTGAGCTGGGCTCTCAGAGTGCTCTCCCAATTATTGCACGGGGTAGCATTAGCTAATGACCAAAGACCCAGACTGGGATAGTAGAGAAAACCACATGGGGTGTGGTGTGTGTGTGTGTTAGCTGCAAATCACCAGTAATTTTTAAAGGACACCCCTTATAAACTATTAAATGTGCATTTTCATGACTATGGACCCAAGACGCCTGATGTTTTCAAAGGCAACCTCTAACAGGTGAGCATTTCGTAAGCTGCAGTTGTGAGAACAGCTTACCATTAAGGTTAGTGTCAGGGGACAAGTCTCCAATTACACCTCAACAACAATTCACAAATCAAAATATTTTTGATATGATTATGAAAACATTCTGAAATTTGAAGCATAAATATGAAGTTTTGTTTTTGAAGAATGACTGAAATAGCTGGTCCCCTTTTGCACAGTACATCCTCCAGCCCTGGGCTATGTGAACACACCCCCAAGAACGGTCTAGAGACAGCAGCTTCAACAATGTCTCCACACCAATGGCTGCTTCCTGATCCTGGACTCTGGGGGCAGTGAACCGCTGGGCACCTTCTATTCTGCAGGGGGACTTCACCTGGGACGGCCAGTTGTCCTAAGGGTGGAAGGTCAGTGTACCTCTGTAGACCAGGACCTGGCTCAGATTGGACAATTTTGTCTCCAAGAGCAGACCTCACACAGACCACCGGAGGTCATGGGGAAAGCCAGAACTTTTCAGAAAGAGACCCCTGGGGCCAGAGCCCTTAAGTGGGGCCTGCCATCAGCCCGGAGCATTTGATGGGCACTGCTGAGCTCTGGCTAGGGAGCAGGGCTGGGATTAGACACCCCCAGTTCAGTTCCTACACAATGGTACTTGGCATCATTTACGATGTGTCCTTCATTTTATGGGTGCAGGTTCATGGAAGTCGATTCTCTCCACCACGTGGGTTTCAGGGGTCAAACTCATTTCTTCAGGCTCCATGGCAAGTGCCTTTATTTGCTGAGCCATCTTGTTGCCCCCCCCCATTTTTTAAGATTTATTCTGTGTATTTTGCCACCGAGCATCCAGTGACCACAGAGGCCAGACTAGACCACAGATGGTTGTGAGCTGCCACATGGGTACTGGAAAGTGAACCCATGTCCTCTAAGTATTCTCTCCATGTCATCTTTTGGGACAGGGTCTCCCACTGAATCCGGAGCTTGCCAACCAGCTAGACTGGCTAGTCACAGAGTCCCTGGGGTTCCTCCTGTCTCTGCCTCTCCAGGACCAGGATGACAGGAACCACTGCACCCAGGTTATGCTCCCGTGGCAAACACTGTACTGGCTGAGCCATCCCCCTAGTTCCCTCTGCCTGCAGCCCTGTGGAGACAGCAGAAACCTTACAACCCAAATCAGGGCAATTGCTACGATTCAGCCAACGGGGTCTCCTACAGTGAAGCTCCTCTCCCAGCCAGCCATGTCCACGAGAACTTAAGAACAGTTACACCATCCTCTTGTGACCCTACCCTACCATCCATGTGGTTGCCTCTCAACATCATCCGTAAGTCCCTGACGACTTCAGCAGGTTGGTCCAAAGGACCACGTCCCCAGGTGTCCACACTTCCCAGCACTGCTGAACTTTTCCGTAATTTTGAAAGGAGCAACTGACCCCTCACTAAGCTGCTCACCATCCAATAAGCTGTGCCCCACCCCCACAAAAGGCTAACCACCTCAGGCAGCAGGTATCCGAGGTGTTTGGTGAGAGCTAGCTCTCAGCATCTCTGGCAAGGTACCACCAGCAGGGGGGCCAACCTGTCCATGTGAGTGGCTACTGCTGGCAGGGCACTACAACTACACTTCCAGCCACGAAAGGCAGGGTCTGTGGCGGCAGAATTTAGAAATGAGTAAGCCTTCCATGTGGATGCTTCCTGGGCTGCATCAACACTCAAGGGAGAGGGACCAAGTCTGTGCCAGCACTGTTTTACGACTTCCGTGAACTGAAGTCACAGCTTAAAACCCCAGTGTTTCTGTGCCAACGCTTCCGATAAAGACAGGTAAGTCAGGAACGAGGCCAGACATAAAAGAGACGTCTCTAGAAGGGGCCCTCCACACAGATGCTGTGGCAGGTCTCATAGAATTGAGGTTTACACTTCACGGTGCCCATCAGAAAAAGGCATTTGTTGGGAAGTTGACTCTCCAGGCTGCCAACTCCAACTGACCTCCCAGAGGCTGAACTGTACAGAGGGAGGAGGCAGGGGGAAAGGAGACACTTCTCCATGCCAAGGCAACTAACTAACCAGTGAAAGGTTAACAGGGTGTGTGAGGTGGGGGGGGGGGGGGAAACAAAGCAAGTCTTGCACAGTAACAGTAGCCATGTGTTAGCCACTTTAATACAAAATGTCATCAACATCCAATTACAAGAGTTTAGAATGGTGTAGAAGACCCAGTGAGTTCCCATTTCATTACAGACCCAGAAGGCCGCCACTTTTTAGAAGCATATGGTAATCAACCCAGGGCTAGCTTTACAGTCAACCTAGAGATAACCACATGGGAAGACCGGCGCACAAACAAGATCTGCAAATCCAACCACAAATTTAGGGATTCTCACAAGGGGCCACCTACAGGTCTGAAGAGAACGAAGCCTCCTGCAAGGGAAAGAAAACCAATTCTGTTCTGATTCAAGAATTTTGCATAGAAATAGAAAATGCTGGAACCTTTGCTACAAGTGAGAATGCAAAGCCTCGACGTGTTAAACTCAACCCAAGAGTTTACTTGGAGGTGCAGCAGGGCTGGGTCACGATCGCCAGAGCGCAGGTGGGGGCAGCTACTGTAAGCAAGCCTTTAAACATTTCAACAGTTACAAGAAAGCAAGGCTGAGGCTGGAAGGCTGCTACAGGATTTTGACTTCAGAGGAGCACCCGAAGGTGTCGGGAGCTTTCCCACAGTAAGCCTTGACAAGGGCATCTTCCTGTCTTTACACCTATCAGTTCTCCAAGGACAGTGTAAGGAAACTGCACAAGGCCTTTCTCTGCCCCAGTACCCTGCAGATGCACGCTACTTGGACTGTTTTTTGCATTAATGGAGACTGAATCTAGGGCCTTGAGCATGTTAGGCAAGAGCTCTACCAGCAGGGCTGTAGCCCCAGACCAAGACTTTTATCACTAAGTCCAACTGTGACCTTAAGTGACAGCTTAAGCAGCAATTTCCTGGGCAACTTCCACCATCTTTGCATCACTCACCTCCAGCATCACTATGTCCCTCTCCCAGTAAGCCTCCAGAGCCCTAGGGATGTAAGAGCTCCCCCTGCTGGGAGCATCCAGAAGCTGTCTTCAGCACCCTCTGCTGGAGGCTAGAGAAAGCGCTTGTTGCAAAGACTTAAGACAAGCTGTGGTTTTTGTATGTGTGCATTTATGC